AGAATCAACCCCTTGCCTTTTCTGGCTTCTAGAGGCCCCCTTCCTCTATCTTCAAAGCCAGTCAGGTGTCATATCTCTGAGTTTGCGCCTGTGGTCACCGCTCCTTCTCTGACCACAGCCAGAAAAACAATCAATTTTAAGGATTTCTGTGATTCAACTGGGCCTACTTGGATAACCCAGGATAATCATCCATCTCAAGACTTACTTCCTACTTGTCTTTGCCACATAACAACCTAACACATTCTCAGGATCCAGGGATCATGAGGTGGATATTTTTGAAGGGCCATGTTCTGCCTAGCAATGCGAAGGACCAAAATTCCATTTCTAACCTCATTCTAATGCTTATACCACAATGGTGATGCTTTTACCTAGTCCAGCTGCATTCTCATTTAGGCTGAAACCATGGTTTAAGTACTTCTGTATCCCTTTGTCATCCTGGGCCTGGCCCAGCGCTCAGGCCAGGTGATATACTAATGGTCTGTGTTGACTGCAAGTTAGAATGTAAAATACTGGTTAATCAGTGTTTAAATATCAAACTCCTAGGTCCCCTTAGAAAATTGAACTTCTTTGAGTTTTGAGACGTGTTAAAAATCAATTTTGTAGCACCCAGGTGGTCTAATTGCCATTATTTTGCCTTTTCACACAAAACCATCTCAGAGATGGGAAAAAAATAGGCAACTTTCATTATCTGACAAAAGTCTTTCAGATTTTTCAAATGGATAAACAGCTCATATAATTTTTGTCTGATCCACATGGGAACACAGCTGTATAAGAAAATCAAATGAACAACAAAATCTGACAGTAAAGCCTTGTGACTCCCAAAGCAACCAAGAATTGAATGCTTCTCAAGCAATTGTTTGTAGGATTACTATTTAAATGCACAGTGACCCACTTTGGTTCTAACATATCAGGAGAAATTAAGTCTTGTTTCCAAGAAGTCCTCATACTACTTTCAATATATTTTTCCATCACTGCAAAAGAAATGACTTGCATAGCTAAGCTACAGGTCTGCAATGGGACCCAGTATCTACCCAACAGCATTGACTGGAAAGTTAGAGGACCCGGTATCCGGCCAGGACATCAAGGCAGAACTTCCTACGCTACAACTAGAGTATGGGCTCATAATAAAGAAGAGAAGCTCTTTCTGTTATCAAAATTGACCAGAAAACACTAGGTCTCATGGCCTTCGGGCTTCAGCCATGACAGCCCCAGCTAAGGCAGCTCTCAAATTCAGCCTTCACCGTGGCAGCCACCTGGGACCCTTCCAATGTGCTGAACTGGGGATTCTAAAGGAAAGCAGCCCAGAGGATCTGCACAGTCTGTAAAGAGTTTTCCATATCTTATTCAAATAGCACCTCATCAGCAAAACCATAAAGATTATTCAACTTCAGTTTTAACAGGCTTCCCAATTCCAGTCAGACTGTTTCAATGTATATCACTTCATCTGATCCTCTAATAGGCCTGGCAGCTATTTGGGGCTGAAATCATAGCCCTTTACCTACCGCAGTCCCTGGTATATGGTAACAGTGCAAGAAATGTTCACTGACTTTATAAGCCATCATTTTATAAAGAAGCAGGCTTGGAGAGTCAACTGGCTTTCTGAAAGTGCCCAGTGGCAAGCAGGCTAGAGCTCTGGCCTCTCATCAGCTATGACTTCTTTCTACCATACTGACCTTCAAAGTCCAACTGAATCAAGGTCAAGGGGGACATTTTTCTTTGTCAACAAACATGCATAGAACATCTGCTCTAAAGCACATCTCTGCATTGCTTTTGTTCTCTACCTAGCTCGCTTTGTTTTCTGAGACTGGGTCTCATGTACACCAGGCTGGTCCTGAACATGCTTGTTACAAAGCTGAAGCTGGCCTAGAATTCGTGATCTTCCTGCCAGCTGGTTTTTCAAGTCCACCTGCCTGCCTCTTCCACTTTCACCCCCTCTCCTCATGCCCTTTATTCTCTGTCCCATTTCCTGTTGGGCTATTATCCAAGCCTTTCATTACTTCATGTATGTGCATTTACGGTCTTTCCCTGAAGGGAATGTAGGCTGCCCAAGGGCAGGGTGCCTATAGCCCAGACTTTCTGCTGACTGTTCTGATGAGATTGATGCAGCCACAGAAACAGACCAAATCAAGTAAGTCCGTGTGTCTCAGATATATTCAAGTGAGTAAGATGGGGGGACGCTATTTAGCCTGGGGAGAGAAAGACTCACAAAAGGCACTATCAGCTTCTCTACAAATGCCCTGAAGGTGGCATATTGAAGGAGGTGGACTTGCCGTGAGTGATCCAGCAGGACTCTGAGGAGAGGGGGGCACATTTTAGCTCAAGGTACTCGGTATGCTTGTTAACTGTCTAACTTGGAAAGTGCCTTTGTACTACCTAAGTGCTGTATGTACATAGTACAGCATGTAGTGTTTTGTCACTCAAATATACATCTGACTAAATGAATGTCACTCCACTCTGCCTGGAATGATCATTCTCACTTCACCTAGCTGGTCCTTGATTTTTCTTGAGGTCTAAATTTAAGTATCTCTTTGTCAGGAAATCCATCCCCAGTTCCTATACCACCAGATTACAAAGCCCTCTCATAATCCCCTGGGAAGGACCTTAAATTTCAGTCATAGTTTTTATGACTATTGTATTTGAAGATATTACTTCAAATCAATATGCTCCTGCTAGGAAGTAATCAGTCCCTTTTGCACGAATGATTCCCAAGTACTCCAGGAGACAGCTGTCAACGTCTTCTGTAGAATACTCTCCACAAGAACTGGGACTACTGTTCAGTTGTTTGCTGTTATCCCCACTGTGTGTGACACAAAGTAAGAGCCCCTATCTCTTGAACTGATAAGCTGAGAAAATGAAAAAGCTCAGTGAAGTCAAGTAACTGGTCAACATTACACAGTACCCAAGTAGCAGAGCGTGGGTTTGAACCTAAGTCTGTGTAACCCTAAAGCCTGGACTTTTTAAAATAAATATATATTTTTATTGAATTTTTGTGGATTTCACATAATTATTTTATGTGTATGCGTGTATTGCCTGCATGTAGGTAAGTGTACCTGTGTCGTGCAATGCCCACAGAGGTCAGAAGAGGCTGTTGGAGCCCCTGGAACTGGAGTTATGGACAGTTGTTAGCTGTCATGTGGGTGCTGGGATTCGAACCCGGGTCTTCTGCAAGAAAAACCAGTGTCCTTAACCACTGAGCCATCTTTGCAGCCCCTCCTCACATAATTATTTTTAGACCGCCTCCACTATCTGCACCCCCCATAGCCTGCCCACAGGATTTCATGCATTCTGTCATATATGTTAAGGCCTATCGAATCAAGTTTGTGTACCCAGGTGTCCCTTGGTGTGAGTTCATCCACTGGAGCCTGTTCAGCCTGTCTAGCATCACTCCCTTAAAGAAGATCAATTCTCCCTCACCCAGCAGTGATCAGTTGCCAGGAGTTCCTCAGCTAAGTTGGGGCCTCCTGCCCATTTCCCCAGTTCTAAGCCTGGACTCTTTAAAAGCAAAGCCAAATTTTGTGAACACAAAGTTATTGTTCATAATCACATATTCTGGTATGAAAGATGGTCCCTTGGTGAAAAAATTCAGAGGCAGTGTGAGGGAGTGTTTCTAGTCGGCCTGCCTTGCTCACCGACTATATAAGATACCGTAGGGTCCTTGATTAAGAGTGTAAGGATCCTCCCATCCAGAGGAACTCATATCTGGCAGCCAACAACGCAGCAGAGTAGTGGTTAACAAACTGGTCTTTTGATGTCAGGTGCGGTGGGGCATGCCTGTAATCACAGCTTTCAGGAGGCAGAGGCAGGAGGATCATTATTTTGAAGCCGGAACAGGTTACAGTTAATTCAAAGCCAGCTTGGCCTTTACAGTAAGGTTCTGTCTCAAAAACAAAACCAGCAAGGAATCTGGATGTTTGGAGTCAGGCTGGATTTGAGTCTTAGCTCTGCAGATTACCAGCCATGAAAACTTCTCTGCATCTGTCTTTACTGAAAAATGAGATTACTCTCATGTCATAAAATTAAAATGTAGATTAAAAACACATTGCCTATGCCCAAGACAGACCCCCAAAACTACAACTATTATTATCATTTCCCTTTTTTGGGGGGGGTCTTTTTGAGACAGGGTCTCCCTGTAGCCCTAGCTGGCCTGGATTCGCTATGGAGACCAGGCTGGCCTCGAACTCACAGAAATCCGCCTGCCTCTGTCTCCTGAGTGCTGGGATTAAAGGCGTGTGCCATCACACCCAGCTTTATCATTTCCATTTTTTAAAGCCTCTTCCTGTACTTCCAGCTTTATTGGTTTCAAGAATTTTCTAATTAATTCTAAACATCTTTAATTTCAGTTCCTTATATTCTGGTGCTAAAATAACTAAGGTGGCTGCTCAAATCTAATATGCGGATTTGTGTGGTAAGCAAAAATATTATGAGCTGGTTCAAGGAATGAGCCTTTTGTAGGGAAGTCTCACACCTGTGTCCCTCACTGAGCCATGAGCAAGGGAGCTGAAGTGGACATCAACAAAACACAACAGACAGCATGCCCTTAACTAGACTAGACAGAAATGCTGTCAGCAAACTCTAACCTATGAAACATTTCATGTACAAAAGACATACCTTTAACTTGAAAGACTTGTGTGATCATACTTTGCAGGCAAACCTGAAAGTTTCTTTCTCCCTAACCAGATACAGAACTGACGCCCCGCCCAAAACAATGGAAGTAATATTTTCACATACTCTGCTATTAAGTTAACAGGTTACAAATCAATGTAATGAAACTTGATGGTTTGGACTGGGATTTCTCAAATGGTCCAATTGTGACCATAAGCAAATACACCCACCCTTAGACATAAGCATCAAAACTTTGCCACCTCATAAGTTCTGTTAAGTTTCTGTTTGTTTCTTTTTAAAACATCAGTCTTCCCCCTTTTCTACTATGTATGAAGGTAGAAAAATAAATGAAGTCAGCATTCTTTACGTCTCACTAGAATAAGCTGTGACTCAAATAATGGTGAGTGGTTATTTGCAAGGCTATAATTTTTTTAATGACAGATTTTCCTAAAAGAAACCACTATAACATCTTTCCAAGTCCTCCAAGGGAAAACAAAAAGTACATAAAGATTAGAAGTCTATTACTTCAACAGCACACTGCCAAACACAATGTAGGATAAATGCCAGGAGACCTTCAAAAATAGCTCTGGAGGATGAAACGTTCAAGTCAATCAAACATGTAAGTTCCACGGACGACAGAGAAACAGGTCCAAGAGTAGTTTGACTTGTGCATGATGGTAATTCAGACTGTACTTCAAAGTTCAGTCAGGTGTCTCGTCTCAGTCCAAAAGCTGTCTGAGCAGAGACGTTTTCTCCTCTTTGTGTGCAGATGTGTACATAAGACTAGATAGGAAAATCGTCCAGGTGATGATGTAAGCACAACAGGCTTGGTTCCCCTTTGATAGAGTACTGAAGGCAGATTTAGTGGACTCAAGCTTCATCGGTTTCCTTAATGAGAAGTCCTATGTATGCATGCTGAAAGAGACCAGTTATGTAATTTGTCATGCTAAATATATACAGCCATTTTCATAAAGTGAGCTCAGTAACCTGACAGAATAAAAAAGATAGTAGTTAAATTATTGTATAACCTTTTACAACTTGAATCACTTTGTGGGTAAATGATGCTGACATTCAAAGCCCCTCAAACAGACATTAACAAGAAATTATTTACTGCACGAAGAGCCACACATCATATAAACGTATACTTCACAGGAGGGAGTCCTGCATAGCAGGAAAGTCGCTACCACTACACAACAAATGGCTAGGCCAATAGTCAAGGCTGCCACTAAAGGTACAACATCAGAGTTCCCTTAATATCTCAAGGAGTGTTCGTAATAGCACAGAACCCCTTCAGAGAATAAGTACATGTTTTGTTTGGAAGGGTATTTTTCAGTGGAAAACTTGAATATTATGTAAATAAATTGATTTTCTAATTGGGTTAGATTTAAGGCAATGCTACTCAGACCTAAGGGGGAAAAATCCACAAAAAAATGTATTTTTCTTCTAAATCATGAACAGGTCAGAATGAACATCGGGAAGGATTCCCATTCCAAGTGTTCAATGCACCTTTAGGTATTTGCAGTATTACAAAACAGAATCCACTCTCATACTATGATTAGGAAATGGGAAATTGTTCTGTGCTCGTCCTTGAAAACTGCAAAAGAAAACACCATGGCAGCTCAGGTATCTAATATTAAAAAGTAACGACACTGAGAACAACTACACCCATTGCGCACAAAGGAGAAACCTTACAAGAAACGCTCCAGAGAACTGTTTTTCTCTTACGGCTGCCTTTGGTGTAGTACAGGATAATCATGGGATCATAAATTAACTTTTAACATCAACTACCGATTAACAAGTGACCATTAAACATTGTGAATTTAAAAATTTTACATTTTGCTCCTGTTTGGCTGCTAAAGAGCAGCCATTGAAATTGATATAAAAACTTCTGATGACAAGGTTTGCTATACAGATAAAGTACATGATCAAAAATGAAGCAGCAATTCAATTTCCTACTGAAACTTGTCTGGTAGAGGATATTTACATATTCGGGAAGGAGGCCTCCAAAACCACCATCCTATTTACTCCCTTCTCGCCCTCTGCCCCATGTCCACCTGCTCCAGCTCTCCAAATCTGTACCAAGTGCCCTGAACTATATACACCTGTACTTTGGGTAAGCCAGCTGGATGCGATTCCTGTGGTGGTGGCACGGAAGAAAAGAGTAAGGTCTCGGAGGTCATTTGCAGCCTTCTTTCTCCGAACATCAGTGTACTGTGGTCAAGGAATCTGTTCTTTCACATCACAGGAGGAAAAAGCAGCTCCCACACTTCATTCCCCAACCTGAATGGGGCAAGATCAAAATGCCATCAGCTCCTTGCACCACAAAGGGCCACCAGAGAAAAGGGAAAGAAAAAAGTCATGACAAAGGCAGCAGCAATCAACAAAAGTTTCCCAACAAAGGAACCTTTCCTCCCTGGGTTCCCTAGGAAATCACAGCTCCCTCTTCCCTCCCCCTTCCCTGCCATACACACAAATTAATTCACATCACAAGAACTTGGTATTCTGGTTAACTGTCAGGTAAATATAAGAAAGGGTAAAATCTGTCACTTTTTATACTTTAACGGAGACAGAAAACTAACAGAACACACAACATCACTGTGAAAGTAACTTCCTAAGACAGATCCAGCCCACATGGTGCAGCCAGCAAAACTTAAAAAGAATAGTTTGTTCACAATCTGCCTTGGACAGGATATTTATATTCTTTCTATGCCATATAAATAGCATTTATATAGCTTACACATTCAGAGACATGCACTAGGACTTTTAGGTAGTACACCTTTCTTCACAATCACATGTGCAAATTTTACAAACCACTAAGTGAGTTAAGTAAGCTTAGGCTGGGCTGTGTCTCGTATCATCTAATGAATTTAATGCAGGTTCAGAATCATCCATGGGAAGAACCAGGCGTGTCCCACGAATGACTAGTTCGTGGTCCCCAAACGTAAGCTCCCGATCCAAGGCATCTTCAGAACTGTTGCCCATAAATCTCCTGGGGACACTGGCTGTTGCGGATTCAGTGTTCACAGTAGAATCCCCATATGTCAAACTGATATCACCATCATTGAGAATAAGATCGGAGTCATCATCTTTCAATTGCTCCTGGTTCTAAGTGAAAAAATAAAATAAGGTTTAAGAGTAGTTAAGAAATTCAAGAATTGGAGCCAAAGTGGTGCATACCTGTAACCCCAGCTCCTGAGAGAACCATTTCCAATAGGTGATAATTGGAGGATTCTCTATTTAAAACTCAGTGGTAGTCCACTGCCCTCAGAAGAAAATCTAGTGTGTGACTTGTTCCTTTCAGCTTCATCTCTGTGACCAGCTGCTTCTTCCACCCCAGCAGTCTCTCTGTGTGAAGGGCAGACTGTAGTATTGGCAGCTGCCCAAGTCTCCTGCCTTTCTCTTACCTCCCAGCCATTAGGCACGCTGTCCCCTCCACCCCATTCAAGTGACTAGTCACTGCTCAGGACTTTCTTTTGGTAGTGTTCTTTATCTTTCAGGTCTAGGTTGGGTATAGGTCCTGTGTGCTCTCACAACATCCTGTCCTTGGCCCTTTCCTTGCAAGTGGTACTTGCTCTTGCACACGTCAGTCTACCAACATGGGCCTTAAGAGTCTGGCGAGGGGGAAGGCAGGAAAAGGAGCAGACACACAGAGTTAGGATATAAGACTAAGTGCTTCCTGGTCCAACCACGAAACACAGTATGGCACGGGGAGAAACTCATAAATTCTCACCACATGCTTGTCTTCCAGACCCATAAGCTTTGGTTCTAATGGAAAATTTTTTGTCAAAATGGTATGTTTAATGCAGTTCTACAAAAGGGAAAAAGTCAACAATATATAGCCCCATTTTGGTAAGAAAAATATTTGTGTAGGCAGAGAAATATTCAGAATGGCCTTCAGTATAAGCTCTCCATGTCAGAGTTGCTAATGAGTTTTATTCTTTGTGTTTCTGCTAACAGAAATTGGCTACTGCTACAAACTTTCTTAAGCACTCAAAGACAACAAAAAGTGAGTTAAAAAACCAAATTCATAGTCACTTGCTAAAAAAATAAGTTTGGACACATAAAATATTTCAGGAAATACCCACAGTAAGCTCTTAATAAAGATGGTCCCTGGGAAATATGATGGGAGAAAGGCAGCTTTTGTTTTTCATACCATATAAATATTTACCTTGAGTAGGTTAGTTTTATAACTGAAAAATATTGATAACAAAAATCATATGGAAATTTAAACAACCAAAATCACTTTTAGTCTAATATAGAACTAATTACTATAAACCTAACCAGTGTCTGTCATTTGATTACTTGCAGAAAAGCTCCTTTGCAGATCAGTAGGGGCCTTTTAATACGTTGTAATGTTTTCTTTAAGTTTGAGGTTTGGGGAAATATCAATCAAATTATAAAAGACATATGCTTTTTGATCTAGTAATATCCCTTTAAAATTGATTCTGCATACTTTTATATGCTGTAGCAAATTTATATGTAAATGGATATTCATAAAAGAGATAGCCACCATAAATATCATTTATAATATCAAAAACAAACATCTACCCACAGGAGACTGAATAAATCATTTTTGGTAGAGCTACAAATGTAATACTGGGTAGTGGTGAGAAGGTAATAGTAGAGCTAATGGATTTATGGACAGGCATCTATGAGCTATCATTAACTGAATAAAACAAGTAATTACAAAGTCTACCTATTATGAGCTGACTTGTTATAAAAATAAGTTTGGACACATAAAATATTTCAGGAAATACCCACAGTAAACCCTTAATAAAGATGGCCCCTGGGAAATATGATGGGAGAAAGGCAGCTTTTGTTTTTCATACCATATAAATATTTACCTTGAGTAGGTTAGTTTTATAACTGAAAAATATTGATAACAAAAACAATGTGAAAATTTAAATTTGATGTTTGTTATGGGTTAACCTTCTCTCCCTCCCCACCAATACTGAAAAACTAACTCCCAACACTTGTGAATTGTGACCTTCTTTGGAAATAGGTCTTATTTGGATACCAGGCAGGCCCAGATCCAATATGGCCAGCCTATGAAAAGAGGAAATTTTTAAACAGACAGGCTATACAAAGAATAGGCTATACCAAGTGGAGATGAAGGTAGAGACCGGGGTGATGCATGTATATATTAAGGAGTGCCAAGATTAACAGAAAAGCATCAGAAGCTGAGAGAGAGGCCTGAGGGAAGAAATCCTGCCAACATCTTAACCTCAAACTTCTACCTCAAAGCTATAAGACAACCCATTTCTGTTATTAACACCATTTAGTCTGTCACATCAACTCCAGGAAAGTCATAGAGTGATGTGTTCTTTTGCTATAACCCATAGGATATACAGTTGTTTGTGTTTTACTTGTTAGGTTTTTTGTTGTTGTTTGGGGGTAGGTTAGTTGGTGATAAGTGTTTTGTTTGGTTGTTGCTGTTTGAAACAGGGTCTCATTTAGCCCATGCTAACTTTGAACTTGCTATGTAGTTGAGGATAACCTGGGGCTCTGGGTCCTACTTTCTCCACCTCCCAAATGCTGGGATTACAGGTGTACACCATGAGGACCAAAAGACAAATGCATAGTTGTGGACCTTTGGGCCATGGATAATGTAAGTTACTGGGTCTCCAGAGTCTAAGTGCCAATCCCTTGCTTGAACCAACAACACTGGCTGACTCCTTTGCAGTCATGTGGCACTGTGGAAATGAACGATGCTTGAGAGCAGAGTCTAGGCTACATTGGGGGCAGAAACAAAGGCAGCACGAAATAGTCTCCCCACATTACTAGGACAATCTCTCAAAATGCACACTGATGCAAAATAGTTACTGGTTGCTCTGCCTGACCAGGTTGCCATCCCTACATTGCCTACTCTTTCCCCCACTCCTTGTGGAATCTGCTCTACCAAACTGCAAAGGAAGATACAAGCAACTGAAAGGCCCTTGTCTACACTGCTTCACTACAGCTAACTCAAGGTTCGAGATGTTGCATTCAAGTACTCAAAACTGGTGGGCACTGCAGACTAGATATTGATACACTTCCCTCAGTACCCAAAAGTTGACAGGTGTTAAATCACAGAACATCTATTGTATTTAACAGACATCAAAAACTGGTAGCCAGATGTGGTGGTACATGACTTTAATCCCAGAAGTTGGGAGGCAGAGGTAGGAGGATCTCTGTGAAATCAAGTCCAGCCTGGTCTACATAGTGAATTTCAGGCCAACTGGGGTTACAGGGAGACCCCGTCTCAAAAAAAAAATTCCTTGTCTAGTAAAGCATACTGTGGTGTGGCATATCATTTCTATTATGACTGTTGTCCATTAGAGGAATAGCTACCTAATATCACATTTTGAAGTTTAAATAAATTAACTAAATCTAGGAAAAATAGTTTGATAATTTTCTCAACTGAGCAGTGGCAACCCTAATGGAGACATGGAGGTCTGGCCACACACTGCAAATATATGAAAGCTACCACGGAAATAGAACAGCCTACTAAAATCACCCACAAGGAAGACAAGGAATTAGTCTGTTTTCAAAGGGCGTGAGCTCTATTTACATACTGCAAAGGGCATGAGTTCTATTTACACATTGCAAAGGGTGTGAGTTCTATTTACACATTTCTGTGTATTTTCTGGTTTAACAAAATATACTTAAGATTCCCTCTTAGGGATTTTATACCTCAAAGACTAAGAGATTCAAACCAAAACAAAATAAAACCAGAAGCCTAAACTACAGAGTAACTAAACTGAAGTTGATAAAGAATATGGAGTTCCAAAACTGGTCAAACACAATGAATAAGTATCTGTAAGATGCCCAGTCCTAAGTAACACATGTACAATAGAACCTCTACACCTAAAGTTCACAAAGTATAGTGGAACAGGGGGTAAAGAGAACACTAATGCATCTCAACTCTGACCAGCTTTCTCCTACAACAGAGGGTGATGAACACAGAAGGCCAGAACTGGCCAAAGTGTAGAGAATAAGAGACTGCAGAGTGTGTTTCCCTGGACAGGACTCACATTAAACCTCACCCACCCAGGGCTCAGAGAGCATTGCAGAAGAGGGGGCAGAAAAATGGTAAGAGCCAGGAGAGGAGGTCCATGAACATAAGGAAACAGTCTTACAAGCTCCTGGGAACTAGCTCATTGAACTTACAGCAACAGTGACACCATGCACAAAACCCATGTAGACTCAGCCAAACAAAAACCAGCATAGAACTGGGGAAATGGGCAGGAGGCCCCAAACTTAGCCAAGGAACTACTGGCAGCTGATCACTGCCGGGTGAGGGAGAGTTGATATTCTTTAAAGAAGAGACACTAGACATGGTGAACAGGCTCCAGTGGATGAACGCACAGTGAGGGACATCTGGGTACACAAACTTGACTCAGCATATATGACAGAATGCATGAAATCCTGTGGGCAGGCCATGGGTGTGCATATAGAGAAGAGGAGTCTAAATATGACTAAGACGTATTATATGAAATCCACAAAAATTCAACAAAAATATTCATCGAAGAAAAAGAATAATTCAATTTATGGATAAAAGTCACTTACTTTGGGACAAGGTGGTGCATGCCTATAATCCCAGCATTCAGGGGGCTGAGGCAGAAGCATCTTAAGTTTGATGCCAGCCTGGGATATACAGAAAGAACAGCAACACGTAAATAAATAAATAAATGTCACTTACTTCATATGCTTGGGGACTGGTGAGGCACCTGGCGATGGGCCCACAGCAGGCTGGGAGCGTGGTAGTGAGCGGAGGCCCACTATGGGTCAGCAGGGGCTTCAGGTAGCTGTGCACACACAGTTAAGGAAGGGCTGCATTCATTTCTTCATGTATTTTAAGGAACAGTGAATATTATTATTATTATTATTATTATTACCACCACCATCACCACAACCACCAGTACAACGTAGTAGGGATCAAACCCAGGGCCCTGAACATGCTAGGCAAGCACTCTACTCTTGAGCTATATTCCCAGTCCAAATAATACAGTTTAAGATCATCACCATCGTGGTGTGCTGACCACTTCAGGGGGTAGCAAAAGGCTTTTACATGTACATGCTCATCTCATTGTCAGCTGAGGGCAGTGAGACAGCAAGCAGGAGGCCTTATCTTCATAGACAGGGACACTGATACTCAAGTCAATGATCCAGGTAAACTCACACAGTAAGTAACTAAAGACATATCTGCTAGCTCAGTTTGATTTCACTTTAAATCATGTGCCTCTTGTATTACATCAGAGTGCTTTTCTGATTTTACTGACTGAAGGAACACAATATCATTCTAAGTTTGGTATGAGGTAAATAAAGGGGAAGTTAAGAATGCTAATGCTCAGAGAGAAGATTCAATATTTAGAGTAATTTATAGTAATAAAAATGGTTTTACTAATTTATCAGGGATTCTGATGGGTACCTGAATGCTCTAACATGAACGTCTGTATAATGTTGATTCATTTCCTATAAAGCTATAAGGAGAAAAGGAAAACAAATTCTCAAGACTTTGCAAATCTATGTATCATAAATTCCTATGACAGATCCTCATTTCAGCAGACTTGGTAACTCAGGGTAATCAGAATAAAAAAGGTGAGAAAGGGAGAAAGGACAAATTGGCACATATTATATTTCTTACATTATAAACAGAGAACCTGGGGGACGTAGCTCAGTGGCACAGCACTTGCCTAGCATGCACAAGGACCTGGGCTCAATCTCCAGATCTCACACAAAACTTACTAGCTGCGCATAATGGTACACACCTGTCATCTAAATGCTCAGGAGGCCAAGGAAGGAGGATTATGAGTTCAAAGCCAGACTTGGCTAAACAATGAGACTTCTTTAAAAAAATTTAGACCCTCTACAGCCATTTTAAGCCGGGTGTGGTGGCACACGCCTGTAGTCCCAGCACTTGGGAGGCAGAGGCAGGTGGATCTCTGTGAGTTCGAGGCCAGCCTGATCTACATAGTGAGTTCTAGGCCAGCTGGGGCTACAGGGAAACCCTGTTTCAAAAAGACCAAAAAAATTTAGAGACAAAATATTGGGACTGGCAAGATAGCTCAGTGGGTGAAAGAGCTTTGCCACCAAGTCTGATGATCTGAGCTCTGTCACTAGGATACACATGGTAGAAGGGAAGAACCAACTCCTGCAAGTTGTCCTCTTGGCTCCAGATACACCATGACACACAAGTCCCCTCCTCCCATGCATACACACACACACACACACACACACACACACACACACACTAAATATAATGAATTCCCATAAATTCCTATAGTAGGAATTCTAAATTCATACATTTATAAATTCCCATAGTAGTAAATTCTATGCAGAGATTAAAGTACTCTATATAAACACACCTTATAAAACATCTGTCCACACAAAGCTATGGAAAATTGAAATGATGAATTCTACCAGTGTTCTAAATATAAATTTTGATGTTTGACTTTACAAGAACAAATTCTGCATGCACAAGACCTATGTAAGCTCAAACCAGACAAATTCCCAGCATGGAAGTTGGGGGTAAGAAGCCCCAACATTACCTGAGGAACTACTGGCAATTGATAGATTCTGAGAGAGGGAGAGTCGGTTTTCTTTAAGGGTGTGACACTGGGTAGATTGACCAGGCTCCAGGGGATGGACCCACATTAAAGGGCATTTGGGGACACAAATTAGACACAGTAGGCCTTAACAAAAATAATAATAGAGGATAGGAAGTTGGGGGTGTGTGAGAGGGTGGGACAGAGCTGGGAGGTCTGAGTATGACCAAAACACATTGCATGAAATTTTCAGTAAAAATATTTAAATTTTTTATGTGTATGAGTGTATTGCTTGCATGTATGTAAATGCACCAGTGTCATGCAATGCCCACGGAGGCCAGAAGAGGGCATCAGAACTCCTAGAACGGGAGTGAGGATTGTTGTTAACCGCCATTTGGGTGCTAGGAATCGACCCTGGATCCTCTTCATGAGCAGCCAGTACTCTTAGCCACTGAGCCATCTCTCCAGCCCCCAAAATATTTAAAAGACTAAATTCCATAATTTGTTACATCAAATTACCAAATGATTTGGAAAAAGAAAAAAAAAAAAAAGGAAAATCCAAATAGTCCTGTGTTTATTAAAGAATAATAAAAAAAAAAAGGTTGGGTATGGTGGTACATGCCTGCAAGCTTAGCACTCAAGAGGCAGAGGCAGGAGGATCATAAATTTAAGAAGAGTCTGGGATAAACAGGGAGAATTTGTCGTCAACAACAAAACAAGGGTTGGGACAGAATGCTTGCCTAGGATGCAGAAGACCCTGGGTTTGAACTCCAGATCACTGAATTATACTTACCCACAACCATATGGATAAACTGCACATATATTTAATGAAGGAAGGAGGACACAGAAAGAATAAATACGATCCATCCAAATGAAAATCAAAATCAGGTACACCTAATTTATGTTGATGGCATTCAATATCAGAGTCACTCCTTTGTGGGAAGTGTTATGGAAGGTGTTACTGATGGAACAGATCATAGAACACCTTCTAATATGATATATACAAATTATACACATATATACAGATATGTGTGAATGTATTATATATGTATATATATATATCTACATATGTGGATGTTAACTACACAAGGATAGACATTGTTCAAAATTCATAACACTGTATTTTTTAGATTTATGTTAATTGTGTAAGTGCGTGCGTGTGTGTGTATGTGTGTGTGTGTGTGTGTGTGTGTGTGTATGTGTACACATGGGAGTTCAGGTGGCCCCAGAGGTCAGAGGTGCCAGATCCTCTGGAGCTGGAGACACAAGGAGCTGTGAGGTGCCTAATATGGGTGCTTGGAATCAAAACTGGGTCCTCTGCAAGTGTTGCACATGCTCTTAACCACTGAGCCATCTCTCCAGTCCCCTCTCCCATTAAACTGTATTCTTATGATGCACATATTTTATTATATTCAAATTATAACTACTGTAATAACCTGGATAGGTAAAGGAACTGAAATTCAAATCTAGAATGATGAATAATTAATTCTACCAGTGTACTGCGTATTAAAATTATCAGGCTGTAGTTGAAAACACTTACTTTAAAAGGTAATAATGAATCAAACAAGTTTTGGTGTTTACTTCTACAAGACTATACAGAAAAATAAGCTATTATTCAATTTTTCTGCACTGGAATCATTCATTTTACGAACTGTGTAGAAAATGTACACTTTATTTCAAAAGACTAAAAAAGGTTAAAGAGAAAGAATGTAAAGGCCCCAAGAGATATGGGAATGGCATATATCCAAGATACTGATAATGGAGCCAACGGTAATGACATAATCTTTAAACAATTTTAAAGACCGAGGCTCTGTCTCCCTAATGGGAGCCTTAATATTACAGGCTACTTCATTCTTGTATCCATACAGTAATTTAATTTTAAAGTACTTGGAAAACAATGAATGCAAGAATCTAGTAAACAGAACACAGTAAGCAGCAGCTTCTAATCCAAAGGGTCAAGTATACTTTTCTTAAACATGCAAAGTTTTGACCGCAAAGGCAAAAAGCAAGGAAAATAATTTTTACACAGATGACTAAAATTTGCTTAAATAAAATCTAAACCATTTACTGATAATAAATCTGAACCTGAGTGACTCTGAAGACTCCTTTTTCTAATTTTCAATATGAAATTATTTTTAATGGCAGCAGAATGTTTTTCAAAAAGCACAATTTAGGCCAGGCATGGCAGCACGTGCCTATAATCCAACACTTGGGAAGTAGAGGCAAGAAGATGGGGAGTTCAAGGTCATCCTTGGCTACATACGACATAGTAAATTTGAGGCCAGTCTCTGCTACATGAAATCCTGTCTAAAAACATGCCAACAAAATGGTTCAGCAGGTAAAGGTCTTTGCCACCAAGCCCGAGCACCTGAGCTCAATCACTGGATCCCATATATTCGAAGGAGAGAACCAACTCTTACAAATTGTCCTGACCTCCATGTGTACACTGTGGCACACATGTTACACACACACACACACACACACACACACACACACACACACACACACACAATAAATGTAAAAAAAATGAAAAGCACATTTTAAATTAGGTTATAGAAAAAAAACGTGTAACTATGAAGACAACAGGACAAAAGGAAATTTGGTCACCAGATGTATTCTGAATTGAATGCATTTGGTCTTTGGAAAGGCTAAGGAAGGAAACATATACCCTCTCCTCTCCCCAAAAGAAAAGGCAGATGCGTGCACATTGTGGGATCTACGCACACTGCAACTTCTTGTGTTCTCCCTGAGGCAGCCTATGTTCCTCCACCCAAGCAAGAGCACTGACAAGAAGCAACAAATCCCTTTGACAGGATTCGTGAAATTAGCTCAAGGACAACAAATGCCAAAGCTCCCTTGATAAATAAATCAGTATTTCAAAAAATCAAAAGTAAGAATAAAAACAACCCATATCTTCTGGGCTCCGGATTTGTTCCACACAGCCAGTTTCTGCAGTAAGCAATCCCTACTGGCTCCCTGGTTTTGCAGAGGAATTCACTTGTGGGAATGTCCTCCACTACACTGATGCAGAGAGGCACCCTTTACATGCTGATTTGGGAGGGCAATAGTCTAACAGTTGTTCCAGGGCTGCAGCTGTAAGGTAATGGTAAGTGAATGCTTCACATGCACAAGTCTCTGGATTCATCCCGAGAACACCACACACACACACACACACACACACACACACACACACACACACACACACACCTCACACACACACAGACAGACACCGTTGTTTCACTAAACTATAATTATCCACGTCTATACTATCACTTTATCAGTAAGGATACTTATGATCAAAGTTGTACCATATCCGAAAGAGCCAAGCACTTTCTGCCTTGGTAGTTCTCCTTTCACTTTCAGGAACACCCTGCAGACAGATGATACATAAATCCATAAATCAATACACAGCAAAGATATAGATTCATTTAAATCCATTCCTCAGCAGAGTCAGAATTAGAGCTTTCATAATAGACACTGTGCAACTTGGGTAATATTAGAAACTGAATGGCTTGTGTGCTGCAGCTGTGGTGTAAGAAATGAAAGGTTTTTCTTAGCATCTCTAGGACTCAGGCAGCTTGCTAATTTATGATTCCATTGTCATTTAAAAGTCAATTTGGGGGCTAAGGAGGTGTCTCAGTAGGAAACGTGCTCACCAGGTAAACATGAAGACCAGAGTGTGAATTTCCAGAACTCACATGAAGCCAGGCACAGCAGCACTTCTCTGTAATCCCAGTGCTAATACAGTGAGATGACAGGTGGAGACAGGAGAAAAGCTCGTGGGCCAACTACCCTAGTGTGTGCAGAACTCAGCAAGAGAATCTATTTCAAACAAGGTGGAAGGAGAAGACCAACACCTGAGGTGGCCCTCTAACCTTTACGCACACACTGTGACACACACAAATGTATGCTCCCCACACCCATATATGCACATTCATCACATGCACAAAAAAGATTAAAGAAAAATCAATGTGGGATAATTCACCCTCTCAATCTGAAAGACTTGTGTCCCTGATGCCGTAGTATCTGAAGTAGAAAACAGCATATCAACATCCCTATCTTTGGGAGCTGTGTTGTGTACCTCAAAATAACTGGCATTTTCAAACTTTCTATTATGTTTGTAACACTGCAGAAAAATGAAAACAACTGGGGAAATTCGTCAGTAAGACTGACTGGCTAGCAGGGAGAACTCACAGCAATCAGGCATCTTCTAAAATAGCTTACAAAAATATACTGTCTATACTTGCAATATGGTATGATCGGCAGTCGGCCAGTTAGGCTAGCTGGCTTCAGTCCTGGCTAGGCAAACCTCCTTTATTCTTTGACCCTGGATCTCTTCCTGTATAAAATGTGGGCTTTACAGATACCCTAAGGTCCTTTCCAGAACTAATGGTTCCATGATTTCCTAAGAGTTTAGATTCTGGGTTTTTGCCCCCTTCCTGTCTTCTCTAATCTCCAATCCCCAAATAACTTAATTTTTCCTTCCACATGTATCAAAACATACATAAAATTATTAAAAAGTATATGAGAACACTGCTTGTGCTCATAAGTGCTAAAGAATGCCTTCTGCATTTGATTTTCACCACTAAGTATAAGTTTACACCAGTTTACACCTTCACTTCTTATTTTTTAATGTTTGTCCCTGGGGATGGAAGCCAGGGCCTTGTACAAAGTGAGTACACATTGTATCATGCCCATGGAATTACTTTATTATTATTTTTTTTTTTACTATTTAAAAAGTTTCAATTTCACTTCATGCATGTTTTTTTTGTTTTGTTTTGGGTTTTTTTTTTTTTTTTTTTTTGAGACATGGTCTTCCTGTAGCCCCAGCTGGCTTGGAAATCACTATATAGACCAGGCTGCCCTTGATCTCATAGAGACTGACCTGCCTCTGCCTCCCAACTGTTGGGATTAAAGGCGTGTGCCAGCACACAGGCTTTCTTTGATTCTTTTTCTTTTTTTAATTTTTTTTATGTGTATGAATGTCTTGCCTGCATGTAGGTAAGTAGGTGCACCATGTTGTACAATGCCCACAGAGGTCAGAAGAGGGTGTCAGATCCCCTGGAAATGGAGTTATAGACAGTTGTTAGCCGCCACATGGGTGCTGGGAACTGAACCAGGGTCCTCTGCAAGAGCAGCCAGTGCTCTTAACACTGAGCCAACTCTCTAGCCCCTCTTCACTTCTTTTTAAATTACTTTATATTATTATTTGGCTGCACATGTGAGCGTCTCTCTCTCTCTCTCTCTCTCTCTCTCTCTCTCTCTCTCTCTGTGTGTGTGTGTGTGTGTGTGTGTGTGTGTGTGTTTGCTGGTGGAGGTTAAAGGACAGTTTAGTAAAAGATTTGGTTCTCTCTACCACAGGTTCCTGGGATCGACCTCGGGTTATCAGGCTTGTATGGCAAGAACCGATATCCACTCAGCTATTTCCACTGGCCTCTGTCCATAGGGTTTTTAAAGTAATGGGAAAATATTTTTTGCTGTGCCACAACTAGTAGCCACATACCTGGCTCTTTCCCTGCCACTTCATTTCTGTTCTGTTGTGACATGGGTCACAGAGCTAGTGGAGACATATTTGCCTTATGAGCTGTGTAAATTGAATGCTTTATCACAGAGGTGGAGGCACTAAGGAGCTATTACCACTTGGATCCTTTCCCAGGAGACTGGCATGATGGGAATTTATAGAGCCTAGTTTGTCCAACTTTTTGAAGTCTAGGGAATTCTACTTTATGATCCTGATCACAAAACAGATAGGTACTTAGTGTATCACATATACACAACTTATCGTGCAAAATTAGCATTTTGCAAACAAATTTGATAAATGCTTTCTTTCAAACCACACCCTGAAGAAAAATGCATTAGGGTTTGTTTGAAAAGCAGTAAGGATTGTGCTTTAAAAGATACTTTCCATCTTTAAAAAACCTAATTTCTCATCTAATGTGCAATAGAAAATCATTAGAAAGAGGGTGGAAAATACCAGAAGAGGGTGGTCATTCTCAAGAGTGCTGACTTATGCTGTGCTGAGTCTGTGAGGCTGGAGATCATAGGAAAGGCTGAGAAACTGACACATGGAAGGAAGTGAGGAACTGTGTCCAAGGCTGAAGCACAGGGTAAGACAGTGCAGTCCCCTCAACAGGCAGGGAAGATCAGTTCAAGATTCCAAAGCTTCTAGGCAGTTCTCAAGGGCAGCTGCTGGTCATCCAACTTGAAAGTTACACAGGAAGAGCAGCTGGAGTGGGGCTGACATCAGAGACAAGCTTTCATGCGCAAACCAAAGTGGAAAAAGGCTCCCTGTGCCAGGGCAGTCACTAGCAAACTCAGGGGCGCTTAAGAGGCTACTCTTCTCTGTGGTCAAAGCCCAGAATGGCCACAGATAGGAAAGCTGTCACCCTTGATAACCACAGGCTGTCTAAAATGTGGTTCTGTTTCTGTGTAGCAGTGAGAAAAGCCAGGAATGATGTCAGCTGAAAGCCGAGGCAAACAGGACAGGGTCTAAATAGTGGCATGAACTCTATGAGAGGTGGTTTTCTTTCCAAACGACTGAACACTGGACAGAAATGCCAGGGACAACACAAGTGCATATTTACCAAATGTTCTTGGTCTGAATCAACACCAACCCTAAAGGAAAAACACAAAGAGCAAGTGAGATTTTGAAGCCAATAAAATGTCTACTCACATACACGCATTATCAAGCAACTAACCTCAACACAGAAGCTACAGAAATGGCTAAATGATCTCTGGCCTCTCTACAGTTGTTGATGTACATTTCTGGCTCCTGCTACTTTCCTTAGCAACAGCTTTGGTTCTAAATCAAACAGGGTGAACAGCCCATTCCTGTAATCCCACTTACCAGTTTCAGTAAAATAGTACTTCTCTGAATATAAATCCCCTCTAAGCAGTCAGAGAGACAAATATTGTCCCAGTTGCTGAGTAAGAACGACTGGAAAGTTCCAAAAGCAAAGCGAGCACGTTGCAATTCCAGGGGGAGGTGGCATGTTTTTGGAGCACAAAGCTCTCATGGCAACATTCCCTTAGGATGACAGAACGGGGTCTAGATGCAGGGCCTTTTTTTTTGTTTGTTTGTTTTTTTTTTTGTAGGGCAATGAATGGACATTAAGCCTTGGTTCTTCAGAATTCTTTTTTACCTGTATGAATAATTTCCTTCTTTGGGCATTCCAGGGAATAATGTCAACAAGTTCTGAGTCTCCTCTCTAGTCTCTGCACACACAAGCCTCCCCCTCCTCCACTGTCTATCACGTCCCCACTCTTCTTTGCCATCCCTCTACTCCAACCCTCTTCGGGGCTCTGTTGACTAAGCTTTTCCAGTTGCTAGGCTCTCCTCTAGAGTTAACTCTATAAACCACAGAACTTTCTAGGTTACTGCCTTCACAAAAGCTTCTGAGAGCAGCTTGCAATCCAGAGAACCAAGTCAAAAGTCCTTTGCAGGGCATTCAAAATTCTCTACACACTCGTGGCTACCCCCACTCCAACCCCTTTCCGTCTCCACTGCCCATCATGGTCTCCATGTGCCCTATCGGACCCTGGCCACGCCCACCTGCTCCTCTTCTCGAAACCCCTGGCATCTCCAGGACTCAATACTTGTACCATTAATTCTCTCGGGGTGAATTGTGTTTTCCCTCACTTTTCTTCTCATTTGCGAACTGCCAAAATAAATACTCGAGGACCTGTTTGAGGAGAATCATTTCCCATTCTGTGCTTCTGCAGTACTTTCTAGAGTCCTTTATCACAACACATATCACAGTATAGTATAGTTATTTACCTGTCCGTCTCCCCAAAAAGACTGTGAGCTCCTTGAGGGTAAAGGCCATGTCTCAATTCATCTCTGTATCCCCAGAGTCTAGCACAGTACCTGACACATAATAGGTGCTCAAATGTTTATTGATTCAGTTACCTACTACAGACAACACAGACAACACAGGCAGCACAGCAGCAGTACAAGAAGCTATAGCAAGAGCATACACAGAGACAGCACTCAAGGGAGGAAAATGATACGAGACTACATCTGGAAGGCAAGGGAGTCATAGTCAAGTATTTGAAAACAGATGGCTATGACCAGATTCATAACTCAAACAAAGGCTCATTTTCAATTTGTTAAAAATGGCCAGACATCCTTTAAGAGCTTCTCAGTCACACTGGACTCTAACCACATTTATGCATCTCAAGTGACATCTAGTGGTCTGGAAGATAGTACATTTGTAACAGTCAAATGGCACATTATCCAAAACCAACTTAACGTAATAAACATTTATAGGGCACTTATTATTTGCCAGGCACTGCACTAGGCACAGGGCATAGACATGAATTAAACATGGCCCCTGTCCTCAAGGAGCTCACAGACTAGTAGGGAAACAGACCCAACTACAGCAGAACCTCTCAAGGGTTTGCTGCTAAGCACCTTGCCCCAGGATGCTGCCTAGCTATTTGAGTTCATCAGGCTACGTGACCCTAAGAACTGTAATTCTATCACCTGGATAACTGGGTTAGTATCACCACAAAGTGTTGTTGCAAGGATCAAATAAAAAAATGAACTTAAAACTTTTAAGAGCACCTGATGTATCACTAACACTAAGTGGTAGCTCTTATAATGCTGGATCACAAGGATGAATGAGATCATTGCTCTCATAGACAGACCCAATGCTACACAGTGGCTCCAAGAAAAAAGAATGGGGATGGGGTGGGGAGACACTTGACTGTGTCAATTCCTGGGAGTAAAAGAGAATCCCAGGATGAGGGAATGGGATATGAGCAACAGCTCAGAGACAGAGAATGCAAAGCATGTGCGCTAAAGGACAGGGAGCCAAATGTGACTGTCACAAATTATGTGAAAGGATGCAGGCTGATTAAATCACTGGAGATTCATTGTTCCCAAGACAGCTAACATGATCTTTATACACTAGAAATTAGATCATGCCACTCCCCTGCTTTAATAACCTCAAGATTTCCACTGTGTTTTAAAATCCAAAGTCTTCACTGTATTCTACAAGACCCTACAACAGAAATCCACAAACTCCAGCCCTCATGCACATCCAATGGTGTTGGAACACAGCCATACCAAGTGATTCCATATGGCCTGTGGCTGCTTTCACACCAGATTTGGGTAGCTGAGACAGAGACCACATGTCCAAAAGAGCCTAAAATCTTTACTACTGGCTCTTTACAGGAAAATTTTTCAGAGCACTGACCCTTTAGGATCTTGCCCACCTCTTTTCCTACTTACCCATTTGATCACAATACTCCCATCATGTAAGCTTTTCTCTTCACGTCAGACAGGTCATGCTTTGTCCTGCCTTGGGGCCTTTGCTCCTGCTTTTCTCTCTGCCTAGACTGCTCTTCTTCCTGATGGTTACTGAACTTGGCAGGGCCTTGCCACTCAGGTAGACAAGCTCAAACATACTTTCTCTGAAAGACCTTCCCTGACTTCTCAATATTACTTATACCCTATCTAATCTCCTGTCACTGTCACAGCATCTTGTTTAATTTCCATCACATTTACGTCACCAGGTGTGGTGGTGCACACCTTTAATCCCAGCACTTGGGAAGCAGAGGCAGGTGGATCTCTGTGAGTTGAGGCCAGCCTGGTCTACATAGCGAGATCCAGGTCAGTTGGAGCTACAGGGAGACCCTGTTTCAAAACGACCAAAAAAAAAAAAAAAAAAAAAAAAAAAAAAAAAACAACCAAACCAACAACAACAACAACAAAAATTTAATATCATCTAAAACTATCATGTCCATTTATTTATTTTATTTTATTTATTTATTTACTAGTTTATTATTTTTCCTTTCCCAGTAAAAGAGAATTAGGACTTTTTTTGTATCTTTTTACTGCCACTGTCATTTGGAGTAAATTTCTTAATATTAGCATGATTGGCACTTTGAGCCAGATAATTCTTTGATAGCAGGTCTGGACAGGAGCCTATTCTATGCACTGTAGGATGCTTAACAGGATCCCTGGCCTCCGCCAATTAGACATCAGTAGTCGTCACTTCTCCCAGTTGTGACAATCAAAAATGTCTCCAAATATTGCCAAATATGCCCTAAGGAGACAAAATGATCTGCTAAGAATGACTGAGTTGGAGCCTAAAACAAACAGTTACAATCACATGGTTGGTGCTCAGTAAATATTTACTGACTAACTGCATAGAAGGTACACTTGAAATGCTGTGCAAAGAGCTTGGCAGACATTATTAGCTCACCAAATGCTTACAACCACAGGAAGTAGATATCATGATGTGTGAGCTACAGATATGGAAACCAAGGCTCCAAACAGTGAAAGGTCTTGCCTAAAGCTAAGAAGGAAGAAGCAAGCACTCCAACATAAATTTATAGATATATGAATCTTCAACATTCTCAACTCATCAACAACCTAAAAATTACAGTAGACAAATGTAGAGGAAGGGAAGAGAAGCCTAAAATATAGCCTCTGCTTTATTTCCAATTATAACTAGGAAGGAGAAAAAGTTTCTAGGCCTTAATTTACAAGGATAAATTAATAATAATTATAGCAATAGTAAAAGCCATAAAGAGCCGGGCATGGTGGCACACACCTTTAATCCCAGCACTCAGGAGGCAGAGGCAGGTGAATCTCTGTGAGTTCAGGGCCAGACTGGTCTACAAACCAAGTTCTAGGCCATCTAGGGCTACAGGGAGACCCTGTCTCAAAAAGAGAAAAAAATAAAATAAATAAAATGTCGGGCTGGAGAAATGTCTCAGTGGTTAAGAGCACTGACTGCTCTTGTAGAGGACCTGGGTTCGATTCCCAGCACCCACATGGCAGCTGCGAACCATCCTTAATTCCAGTTCCAGGGGAATCCAAAGCCCTCTTCTGACCTCTGCGGCATTGCGTGACATGGGTGTACTCACATACATGCAGGCAATACACTTGTACACACAAAATAAAAATAATAAAATAAAATTAAATATATATACATATATATTTTTAAAAATTAAAACGTAAATGCCATAAAGATATGAAACTTTTCTATTGATTCTAATTATTAAAAATTTACTATCTGGTAAGAGTGGAGAAAATGGAAGATTTATGATATATCTATTAAGTAAATATGATAATATGTTAAACCAGTACCTGTTTATAAATGTAAAGTAGTAATGTGAGTTAAAACATACAATTTAGTCTATATTTTTCACAACTGTTTGACATGCTAGTCTTCACTGCTTTCAATAAAATATCCAGTAAGGAATATATATGTACATATAGCCTCTGTTCACAAACAGGCCAAAACACTGCAATAAAACAAACAAAAAAAAAAAACCAAGAAGCACTCTAAGGCTACAAGGCAGTGAATATAATTAAGTCTGCAACTAAGCTGCAAAGCAGGCAAGAAGGGGCCGGTTAAAGAACTTCCAAATCTAGTGATATAGATTAAGCTCAATGTGAGTAGGTGGGATTTTGCTTTTTTCTTTTGAGGGGGTGGTAAAGCATGGGTATCCTGTCTGCCTTGTGTGGAAGACAGTGAGGGATGAAAACTGATTCTCCACTGAAGACTATTCATTTTTCTAAATTAGTTACATTTCATTTTACTGTCCCTGGAAGAATCTTCACTTATAAGCTTTTGGGAAAATAGTTTACTCCTTTCAAAATTTACTATCCTCCTTTTTTGATGTACCATGATCTGAAGGAACTAAGTAAGACCAGAGGCCCTTCTGACTACAATGAATTATCTGTATGATACCAAACAACTAACACTATTTCTAAGCCTCTATTTTTTTAATAAGACGATCACGATTAGACAAAAATGTTAAACACATTGAACACAATGCCTGGCACATAGTAGGTGCTCAATAAATGTCAAGTCCTCCTAAAAGTAACATTAGGTTGTGGAAACATTACCAGAAGTATGAGAACATATGCTGCACTGTATTATCTACTATACACAGAAATAGCACATAGAGTAAAGATTTGAATAATAGAGATTAAGACATTAACAACATTCAAAGTATAATGCAGGGCTAGCTAGTCTGTGCAATGTTAAAAGACAAAATAGAAAAGTTAAAACAGGTAACAGATAACATTCTCTAATACGTAAAATACTGTCTATCCTAACAAGGCCTACATATCCAAAAAGCTTGGTAGATGTAAACATCTATGAAGTTTCAGCCAGACACAGAACTATCTACAAAGGCTTCAGGGACACAGACTGCTATATCCATGGAAACAAATGCAGAACTCCTCAGATCCAAGGGTGCTTTCAAATTGAATACATTAAGTAGCACACACTGAAAGCTATGACTTCATGATCTTGGCCTTGGTTTTTTTTTTTGGTAGATTAGAGACAGTGCTGATCAGAAAGATGAGGAAGAATGACAAAGTTTAGTATCAATTAGAGTTGGGGTAAACTAGACTCTCACACGCTGCCGATGGATCCAACCTGGGTGATGTGACCCAAAGCTTTAGATAACACGTGTATCTTTTGGATTAAGCAATTCCATTTCCAGAACTGCATCCTAAGGGAATAATTAAATAAGTACATGGAGGCACATAGATTTAAGAGCATTCATATTGCTAATAATAACAGTAACAGCAAAATCCTCAGCTGGAAATACCAGAATCCTAGAATCAATATAAAACTACAATAGGAAATTGGTTAAATCAAAATATATACAGCCATTCAAATAATATAAATTCACTAATCAATGTAAACATCCATGCTATATTGCATAATTTCCTATTATTACATTTAAAAACCAGTCTAGAAGAGTATTAGTGTTGCCTCGTTTTGCTGAAATATATATAACACATAGCAAAAGGTCTGGAGTGGTTACTTTCAGGGTATTAGCAATGGTTTTCACTTATTTTTCTTTTGCATAGTTTCATTTTTCTGTATTATATTATGCTTTTTAATAGGGGAAAAATAAAAACTTAAGAGTTGACAAAGCTTAAAATCCTCTCATGACTAAAAGTGAACTGAATTAAAATGTAATCTAAAATGAAGCCCCCAGTTGGGCGTACCTTATATGCAAGCATGACAGCATGGCTGTAGTGCCACCACCAAACACCCACACGGTAAAAAACACAATCAGAAGTGTGGTGCTGAACATCATTTGTCGGGCGTAAGTGGCAGTATCTCGAATGGCCAAGGCAAATGCCATTGCTCCACGAAGGCCTACAGGGAACAGAAGAGATGCATCTTCAGTACCTGTGATGCACACTTTATAAATTCAGACATAAAACATACTCTAAATGCTCAGAAGCATGTGAACAAATATGAAATAAATACTAACATACTTACAGAATGACTGACAGATTTAGGATACAATACTGTCATTGATTTTCTGTTTGTTTTTGAGAATGGGTCTTGCTATTATAGCCTAGGCTGATCTCAAATCCACAATCTTCCTGCCTCAGTCTCCTCAGTGCTGGGACTGAAGACATCTTCCACCACACCTAGCTTGATTTCTTAAGAATTCTTTACAATTTATTAATTTAGGGGGCTGGAGAGATGGCTCAGTGGTTAAAAGCACTGGCAGAAGACCTGAGTTTGAATTCCAGCACCTACATGGTAGCTAGCAACCATCCGTAACTCCAGTTCCAGTGGATCTGGCGCCCTCTTCTGGCATCCGCGGGCACTGTACAACATAGGTGCAGTTATATACACATAGGCATAAGACTCTTACACATAAATTAACAAAAAAGTATTAATTTATATAAAATAGAATTAACTTTATAATATATAATGCCCTCAGTTTTGACAGTGCAGAAGACTTTAATCACTGCCACAATCAAGACAGAGCATTTTTTTTCTCTTCCCGCCCTAATCACATTGTTTTATATGGTTAATATAACCTGTTCATCACTCTGACATATTCTCCACCACTATGATTTTGTCTTTCTGAGAACATCATGCAAATGGAATCATATAGTCTGTCAACTTTGAGACTGGTTTCTTTCACTCAACACAACACCTCTGAAACTCACTCATTGACACTGTATGAAAAAAAAAGTTTTCACTTTTCATTGCTGAATAATTTTCTATGGCATGGATCTATCAGGTGCCACCCCCATCCCCTGCCATTTGCCCACCAAAAGACAGACAAGTGCCAGGTTGGGTGGTGCAAGCCTGAAATCCCAGCTACACAGGAGGCTGAGGTAGGAGGATCACCCATCCAAGGCTTACCTGGACTACAGGGTGAGTTTAAGGTCAGCCTGAACAACTTAATTCCCCATCTTAAAAAGTAAAAAGTTTAAAGGGGCGGGGGGCTGATGATAGAAATGAGTGGTAGAGTGCTTGCTTAGCATGCATGAGGCACCAAGTTCAATCTCCAGTACTAAAAGAAGGAAAAGAAGAAGTTGTTTCTAGGTTTTTGGCAATTATGGTCAGAATTGCTGAAGACATTTACTTACAGGTTTTTCTGTAAAAATGCATTCATCTTTAACTTCTCTACTTCATATGACATATTTTGGGGCACTATAAGAAGATTTTTCTACTTGAGGATGTAATTTCCATGTTTTGAGTCCATGGTGTTGGCATAAGGTTTCAGTTTCAAGTTATGTGAGCTAGTGTACCACATTGTGAATGAGTGCTTAGAGTGGACAAGTGAGAAAAGTGAAAACTTACCAGCAAACATCATCATATGTTGAAAATTTGATCCAATCTTACTTCTTCTACCCAAATTAAGTAAGAGAGACAAAGGGTAAATATTGGCAGCTCTTCCCAAGAAAATAGCAATCTAAAATTATTAATAAGTTAAGGATCATTTCTTTTTACTATTGGGAATTTGGACTATATATTCAAGATGGTGACTAGCCTCAGTTTAGGAAGCTCAGTTCTTTGCAGGCAGTCTATCGGTGCCATTATCCTACCACTCTCCACTAGAACTATGTGTAGCAATGGAAGTGTCTGGATCTGCACTGTCCAAAGCACAGAGCACTGGAAATATAGTTAGTGTGACTGAAGAACTGCAATCTTAACTCCATTCCATTTAAATTAATTTAAATTTCAATGACTGCACATGGCTAGTCACTACCAAACTGGAAGGTGTAGGCCTAACATGGCAATTTAATACATGAAGAAAAAAATGTATAAATGTGGAATGTCTTTACTAGATTTTCAGGCTATTAACTCATTCATTTCCTTTGCAGTGTAGATAGGAAGAAGAGTAATGTTGGCCGAATGTCCCCTTCCTTCCTCGGAGCACAAAAAAGGGCAGCCAGCCATCTCCTGCTATTGAAATTCCTGCACAGCCCTGCTGTGTCCCACTAACTGTGCACTGCCAACCTGCTGCAAAAGACAGGCCTTGTGTCAATTCAAATGAGTTTTAACTAAAAAAAATAAAAACAATGACAAAAAGCAAAAAACAAACACAAAAACCAATTTTGGTGTCTTTTCTCCTTTTGCTGTCTGTAGAAACTTGTGCTTTATAACTGCAAATTTTACTTCAGGGTTCCTAATACCATCTGCACCCCACTTCCTGAAAGGAATTGAGGGGGAAATGTAATATTAAAAGCAAAACAACATGGTAGAAACACTGTTGATGTAAGTATTGTACAAAGAGAATGTTCAAAGAGTAAGTCCAAAGGCAAAAAAAAGTGTACATAAGAATCATATTCTCATTAGCGGGACAAGGAAGTGCACATCTATAATCTCAGCACTCAGGAGCTAGAGGTAGGAGGATCAGGAGTTCATAGTTCACTTTGGCTAAATAGTGAGTTTAATAGTGGGTTACATCTCAAAAGCAACAAAACCCCACAAAACCACCAAGAGAGGTAGGGTTCAAACACTTGTTGATAAAAGTTGTTTCCCAGAAGAGATCAGGTTAACAATACCAGTGCTGTCATATACTCATGTACTACATAATATATCAATCAAAGAGAGACAGCTTATACCATGGTGGTCCCATACAATTATAATGGAGCTGAAAAATTCTTATTGTATAATGATGTCATAACCATCATGTTACTCATGAGGGTGTGAAGATGCTGGTGCCAACAGACCTACTATGTTGCCAGTCATATGAGAAAATAATATACACAATTATGAATAGTACATCATAGTTGATGACAGTGACTTACATACTTACTATACTATACTTTCAATCACCATTTTAGTATATTCTTTCTACTTAAAAAACAAAGTTTTAGGAGGTATAGCCAGGTAAATCTCTCTAAGCTCAAGGCTGGCCATGCCTACACAGTGACACCCTGCCTCAAAAAAATGTTAGGGTGCCAGTGGGATGGCTCAGTAGGTAAAGGCACTTACCACCAAGCCCGACAACCTGAGTTTGATCCTAGGAAACACATGGTGGAAGGGAGAGAACCAACTATAACAACAAGTTGTCCTCTGACCTCTACACATACATCATGAAAGAAATAAGATGTACAAAAAAGTTGATTTGGAAATAGCATACATCACCAGCGGCCTCATGCATCTCCTGCTTATCAAGTGTCCTAACTGCATCAGCAAGTGACTTTAAATAACTAACTTATATCATGTAGGTTTATGTAAGTATATTCTATGATGTTCACACAATGACAAAACTGCTTGATGATACATTTCTCCCAGTTCACCTCCATCCCTAAGCACTGCATGAGCATCCATGCATACTGCAACTTAATGAGCAAATAACTGAAGAGCGGGTAGTAGGAATCAGGTTCCTCACTGTTGCCTCAGAAGTGTACAGACAAACAAGGGAAGGCAGTTGAAGGATCCTGTTACAGTAATGAATTACAGTTGGAGACATCAGTATGCACTCATCATGGTGATACAGATGGTTCCCTACAGAAATAGTTACAGACACTTGCATGCATGACTTAGTATACATGGATATTTCCTCACTCTGTCAGTGGACAGGGCCTAGAAGAAAGAACTCACAGTGTCTTAAGTGTACCTAGATCATCGTTCTTGGTTTCTAATACCATTTTTCCCCAATGAAGGAACCAGAGCTCCTTGGAGAAATAGCTAATTCTTGGGCTGAAGTGGAAAATACACAAAGGTAGCATCCTGGAGTTTCAGAGAGAAAGCAAGTGCTAAAAACTAAAGCAAAACCCCAAAGCTACAATGATGGAGCATGTCAAGGGAAACAGAAGTCTACTGAACAGGCTCCTGATGGGTAATAGTTTGAGCATTTAAAAAAAGATTTATCTACTTTAATTTTTATGTATATGAATGCTTTCCCTACACATATGGACATGCATGATGCACATGGCTGGTGTTTGTGGAGGCCAGAGGAGTGTTAGATCCACTGGAACTGCAGTTACAGACAACTGTTTGCCACCATGTGGGGGTTGGGAACTCAACCCAGAACCACTGCAAGAACAGCAGATGCTCTTAATCACTGAGGCATCTCTCCAGCCCTGAGCAAAACTTTTAAAAAAGTTATACATAATCCAAAATATAAAATAAACATCAATATATATCTCAATATGAATAAATAACTGAATAAAACATCAAATGAGGGAGAATAGATAAATCTCCTATATAAAGAATTAATTCCAAGTATTTTTGTAAAAATTGAGTCCTCAAGGAGATGAAACCTAACTCCACATACCATAAATGTGGGCTGCATAAGGTGACTCCTTCCAAGCAGGACAAAGAAGAAAGAAGAAAAAGTAACTTTACAATGGAGGACTCTGGCATTCAGTAACCAAGACTAACATCACGATTAGTGACATGTCAGTAAACATGTGACCCTGAGACATATGATATGATATGATATGATATCATATCATATCATATCATATGATTAGATGGAGATGGCGATGGTACTTTATTTCTGTGGCACACTGCCCAAAGAACACATGACCAAATGCAATCTTGAGAAAAACACCATAGTAGTCCCAACTGAGGAACACTCTATGAAATACCTGGTTAGTACCCTCAAATTTTTCGGTTGTCATAAAAAATAAGGAACAGCTGAGAACTGCCAGTCAAATGGAACCCAAAGAAACATTTAAAACAAATGTAATGTGCTATACTAGATGGGACCTTGAAATAGAAAAGACATATTAGGGAAAAAAAAACATGAGAATCGGGAATAGAGTATGAATTTTTCTTAATAGGTCATTACTTGCTCATTCCTTCTGACAAACGTAGTGTACTAATGTAAGATGTACTAATTAAGACATTAATAGGGGAAACTATTCTTTTTTAGCCATAAAGGTCAGAGCTAATGTGACTGTAAGGGTCAATGCTGTTGTTGAATTCAGATGCTGATATTTCTGATTTTCATGTCTTCTTCCTCGTATATTGGAACCATGTGTCTCAGCTGTAAGCGTCCTGTCCCAGTCCCATACCCACTCCCATCACCCAATTGTGATGGAAACATAGTTTGTGTCCCTAAATGTTCTTCAGAGTGGGCATATCCCCTGGGCCCACCAAGAGTCCCATTCCTGTAAGACACTGTCTCTCCCCTTCCTGGCAGACATCAGTTGTCAAAAGTTCCTCAGGTTGGGCTAGGGTTTCTAACCTTCTTACTCACTTTCCTGTGTCTATGCTGGAATTTTGTCTGGTTTGAGCTTGCGTAGCACTTCTGCATGCTGTCCCAATTTCTGTGAGTTCATATGAGTAACTGACCAGCTGTCTAGAAGACTCTGTTTCCCTGTGGTCATCCACCCCCTCTAGCTCTTACAATCTTTCTGCCTCCTCTTCTACAATGATCCCTGAGCCTTGGGAGGTAAATTTACCATATGATCCAGTACTACCACTCCTTGGCATATAGCTAACGGATTCATACTGCTACAGAAATACTTGCACTGCCATGTTTCACTATCCCTTTTATAAGTCTAAAACTATTCCAAAGTTAAAAAAATAGTTTAAAGTAATTCCATTAGAAAAGAGAAAATAAAATATAACAACAGTGACAAAGCATGGGAGGCAGTGCGGTAACAACTGCTAGCTTTCCCAAATGCACAGCTAATTTTCCTTTCTTCCATAGTAGCAGCCACTTCTCCCTTTTACCGTCAATTTGATTTTGGTACACAGCCACTCAGATAAAGACCACGATTCCCTGCCTCCCTTGCAGGAAGGTGCTGCCAGTGTTGTTATATAGAAGTGATATGCACACATTCTAGGAGGTGTCCTTAAAGGCAACTGGCAGACACAAAGGTGACACACCATGGACCACAAGAGTACAGGCAACTCCCTAAGGAGACCAGCACCAAGTTTGCCTGGGTTCCTAATGACGCCATGGTTCACAAGCTCAGACTTTTACAGAAGAAACAAACTTCTGTCTCATTTAGATTTGGGTTCATTTGAGTCTTTGTAGCATAAAACCAAGCATGATCACCATAATTAAAATTGCCAGAGACAGAACAGCTCTTACCTATCAAGAATCATTTTCATAGAATTTATGGAGAATTTCTATCTCTAACAGATTCAGAGTCCTAGAGAATATTTAACTTTATTTCCAGATTAACTACTGTGGATTAAGCAACTGTTTATCACTTAAAAATTACTCAAATATTGGGGGCTGGAGAGATGGCTCAGTGGTTAAGAACACTGTTCTTGCAGAAGACCTGGGTTCAAATCCCAGCACCCACATGGCAGCTGACAGCTCTCCATAACTCCAGTTCCAGGGGATCCGACAGCCTCTTCTGTCCTCCACGGGCATTGCACGACACAGGTGCACTTACCTACATGCAAGCAATACATGCATACACATGAAATTAAAATAATAAAATATTCAAAATTTTTTTTGATTTCTCAAAAATTGACAAGGTATGAAGTTACTAGCTCATGGCTGTGCTACACCTGAAATTCTCCTTTCATTAATAGGGCTTTGTCTTTTTTGCCTTAAAACCGCAGAAAGATATTTCAGTACTATCTCACATTCTAACAGAGGACTTGTACAGTTTTCATTTTTAAAAAACTTCACTACTCTCTTTGGCAGAATCTGCACTGTAAAGTGTTCTTAATGCTTCTTTTGAAAATCACTTATTTAAACAATTCATTTCCATGACTACAATCTTTCCTTCCATATTTCAACTTCAACCATCCTACTGCAATCATTCACATGCCACCCTGGGACCGTTAGCCCACATACCACTCACCCTTTGGTCTTTGCTTCCCATCTTTTCCATGTATTAGAGGTACTCTTTCCAAGCAGGAGTGGTGGCACATGCCTTTAATCCCAGCACTCAGAGGCAGAGGTAGGTAGATCTCTGTGAGTTCTAGGCCAGCCTGGTCTACATAGTGAGTTCCTGGCCAGCTGGGACTACAGGGAGACCCTGTTTCAAAAAGACCAAAAAATAAAAAATAAAAATAAAAATAGATACATCCTACATTTGCTTTGCTCTATTCTGTTTTCATTTTACTCACACAACAAAAATTAGAAACCTGGATGGACCCAATATTTCTTTCTTTTCTTGCTCAGTTAAGTCTTACTGGACAAAGTCAAAAGCCAAGGAGATTGGTTATCTTACAAGTACCTATTTCTTAGTCAAATTTGCTGCCAAGCGAACCTATTGCAATTCCTTGGTCAACTCATTTTCTTATTCTCTACAGCTATTTCATAATCTTTCTCTACCTTCCCCCAAACTCCTATGATCTGTGGAAGCCAGCCTCCAAGATGGTCCCTAATGACCCCTGCCTCCAGTTACACTGATCATACCCTTGTGTAGTCCCCACTCACACTGCTCCAGGGTTGGTCTATGTGACCAAAAGAATACTGCAAAGATGATGATGGGATGTCACTTCCAAGATTAGTTTATAAAAAGCACGTTGGCTTCCATCCTAGTGCTCTCTCACCTCATTCACGCAGGGAATCCATAGTGAAAACTGTCCCGTGGATAGGTCCTACAGAAGGATGATCCTTTTTGTTATTTCACATGTAGGAGTAGTTTGCACCACATATACGCAAATGCCCGTGGAGGCCAGAAGAGGGCATCAGATCCTCTGGAACTGGAGTTACAGATGTAGGCCACCATGTGGGTGCTAGGAACTGAACCTGGATCTTTTCCAAGAGCAGTTATGTGCTTGTAACTACTGAGCCAGACAGATCAAAGGCCATAGGAGAGAACTTATCGCTATTATTCTGCTACACGGACACAGTATTAAACTGACTCCTAATGAGTTACTGCTATCCGCATAGACAAATGCATCTCTCAACTCTCACAGAGGAGGGGACGGAAAGACTGTAAGAGCCAGAGGTGGTGGCTGAATATAAGGAAATTGTGTTTTCCAGACAGCAGGGCAGTCATTTGTGTGAATTCACAGCAATTATGTCATCATGCACAAGGCCTACATAAGCTTAAGCCAGACAAATTCCTAGCACAGAGGAGACAAGGTGGGTAAGAAGCCCCAGCTCTGAGAACCATTGGCAATCGATAGCTTGTGGGAGAGGGAGAGTTAGTTTTCTTTAAGGACGTTACACTGGTCAGGCTAACCAGGCTCCAGGAGATGGATCCACACTGAAGGGTCTTTGGCAACATAAATTAGAATTGACAGAACTTAACAATATAATAAAGTGCATGAAATAGGGAAGGGGCAGTAAGAAGGTGCAGATAGGGGAAGGGGTCTGAATATGATCAAAATACATTGTATGCAATTCTCAAAAAATTCAACAAAATATTTAAATAAAAATGTTTTAGGATTAAGTTCTATAATTCTCTGAAAATACTAAGAAAATGCATACAGACTATTTTAAGATGTTTCAGATATCATTGGATATATTTCACTTTGCTCCAGATAATCAGAAATCTCAGAAAATGTCTTCTTATTTAGGCAGGGGGCAAAACTAAAATCAGCAAAGAAAGTACTGAAGAAAGCTAGAGTTACATGGCATATTAAACTTGCAAAATGCAATATCCTTATATGGCTTCCTTTCTTGATCTATAAATGACATTATTTGTATAAATATATTAAGCCAAAAAAACCCACAAAACAAAAACAAAAAGGATGGTCCTTCCTGTAGACAGCTATGTGAATGAGTCTGGTCTGACATGGCCCTTCTAGCCCCAGATAAGTCCTCAGCACAATACCAGCAAACCATGTCACTTCAACCTTCTTAGAGGCTGTAGAGCCAGAATATATCCAATGATATCTGAAACATCTTCAAATAGTCTATATGCACTTTCTCAGTATTTTCAGCTGATACCCCAGGATTCCTAACCCTCAGAAAGTGTGTCAGGTAAAGAATGGTAAGTTTCTGGGACATTTCTTTTTTTTTAAATTTTACTTACTATTTTTATTTTATGTGTATGCATGTACTGCCTGCATGTAGGTAAGTGCACCCATGTCATGCAATGCCTGCAGAAGACAGAAGAGACTATCAGATCCCCTGGGACTGGAGCTACGGACAGTTGTTAGCTGCCATGTGGGTGCTTGGATTCGAACCCAAGTCTTCTGCAAGAACAACCAGTGTTCTTAACCACTGATTCATCTCTCCAGTCTCTCTGGGACATTTCTTACAAATAGCTCATATACCCTCCTATAATCAGCAGATAGTCTCACTTCCTATTTTATAAAATAGAAACTATCCACAGGAGCTCCACTTTCTCTCCATATACACTACTTTACCAATGGGGGAGCTGTCCCTCCTCCCAGCAAAGGCCATTTCCTCCCTATGCGCTGGAGTCCATCTGTCCTTGAGACATACACCATGAGACATATGCCAGTGAGTGCTGTCTTTCTCATTCTCAGATTCCTTCTTTCAAGCTGATTTTATTTTCATTCATTTCTTTCTATTATATTTATTTATTCAGGGTGTGTGTGTGTGCACGTGCGTGCGTGTGTATTTGTGATAATTTGAAGAAGCTGGTTCTGTCCTTCCACCATGTGGGTCCCAGGAATCGAGCTAAGGTGGTCAGGCTTGGTGGCAAATGCCTTTATCCCCTGAATCATTTTGCTGCTCCCTCAAGTTGGCTTTAAAGATTCAATTTGCTTGCATGAAATAGAGAAAAGGGAAAGACAGCGGCCTTATTCAGCCTTCTTCATCTTTTACCTATTTCCCCATGGCATAGACTACTAGCTCTTCCTTATATTTATGTATTCTTTTTCCTTTTTGGTAACAGAGGACAGTGTTTTGTTGTTTCTGTTTTACAGTACTGGGATGGAACTCAGAGCTTTTCACATGCTAAGTAAGTACCATGCCATTGAGCTTCTCTACTATTTATTCCATTTCAAAATTTTAGTTTGAGACAGGGTCTTGTGAAGTTGGCCCAAACTTTGGATCCTCCTATCTTAGCAGGGATTATAGGCACGTGGCACCATGCCTAGCTAAGGGCAAATGCTTTTATCTTTGAAGTTGGCAGAGTAGCAGGAGACTTCTCTGTCATTTCAATCTGTCAACACTATTTGTGCAATAAGCTCAAACAGAACAGAAAAAGAAATTATTAGACGGGGATGGAAAGAAGTTGAAATCCTTACTTGTTTTCTCAGAAAAAAATTCACATATTTAAATACATTCTTATCATCCACACCCCTCAACCATATGAAGATCTCAATTAAAAATAAGTTTTCAAAACAGACATATAATAAAGGATACAAATGCTCCCACTACAAACGTTGGGTTAAAGACATGGTTCTGGAAGGTGAACAGTGTCAGCCCCATGTAGGAGAAGATGAAATTCTCTGCCAAGAAATTGAGAAGCTCAAACAACTGAAACAAAATTGTAAAAGGTTAGTCCAGTAAGTTTCACACTGTAAAAACACGAGTGACAGACATTTCAAATATGGAAAGCTCATACATATACCTGAAAATATGTGACTCAGAGGAGAGCACATGGATTCTATTCTAGTCTCATTGAAAGAGCCTGAAATGTTGAGCCTTCACATTCCCCATCAGCTCTCTCACACATTCCCTTCCCCAAATCACCATCATTGATTACTCTCCTCCTGCTTCTCCAAACCCAGTTTTTCATTTTGAATGTTGCTTGGGTTCCTGCCACTGCCCTGGTTTAGCTTTTTCACTCTCTGTCCATGATGCTGCAAGACCCTAAATGGTAAGCCCGGCATGCCCATTTCTCACCTCCACTCAATGAACCTCTACAAATGAGTTTCAAGGTACAATCTTCTCTATGAGCTACAAGACACAGTCCAGCTTCTTTTGCCCCAACATTGAATTCTGCATGACCACTCTCTTACCACTGGTGTTCTGTCACCTTCACTTTTTCCTATGTCTTAGCCCCTCATTTAGGGACTAAGCCTCCTAAAGTCAGGGCTTCTCTCTGGTAGCAGGTTCCCAACACCCTGTTAAGGTCCCTGCTGCCTGTCAAGTTCCACCCATTCATTTACTGTTTCCCCGCATGTTAGTAAGAGTAGGTGTACCAGACTTGTTTGGTCAAGTGACGGTCCTTCAGAAGCTCATATCCTTTAGTCATGGTACTTATCTGTGCCTACTCTTTCGCAGGAGACATCTGCCCCCACAATAGGAAGGAGATAAGAGCTTGGTCTCGGGAGTCTAAATGCTAAGGCTTAAACCATGCCTTCCCTATTTGCTAGTTCTGTGGCTTTGGACAAGTTAGTTGATTTTTTTGGAGGTGAGTGCTTACTATGTAGTTCAGGTTAGCCTGGAATTTACTGTGTATCCCATTCTGTCCTGCTTCCAATTTCCAAGTGCTTGTGTGTGTGGAGGGGCAAAGTATGTAAATGTGGACACACTTGTGCCACAATACACGTGTGGATGCCAGAGGCTAACCTCAGGTGTTCGTTCTTGCCTTCTACCTTATTTGCAACAGGGACTGTTATTTTTCTGCTGTGTGCAGCAGGCTAGGTGGCTGGTGGGCTTCTAGGGGTTTTCCTGTTTATACCTCTCATTTCCCTTTAGGAGCACTGTAATTACACACATTCCAGTTTTTATGCACATTCTAGAGATTTAAACTTTGTGTGGAGAGTACTTTTACAGCTTGAGCCATCTCCCCAGTCCCCAAGCGCTTTGATTACAGGTATGTACCACATACCTGGCTTAGTCTTTTTAAAAATAGAGTTGTAGGAATGGAGGACCACCAAATAAGAAGTCCTGGGTTTAATCTCCAAAACTGCTCAAAAAGAGCAGTTACCAAAACTAAGAATCAATATTAAAACAATTATATACTTTATTACCAAAAACTAAGAATCAATATTAAAATAACTATATATTGTTCTTGAAATGGTTTAATATACTTATTCTTATTTACTCATTTAATGATAATAGCTAGTTTCTTGGGTTTTTTATTAAAATTTTTTAATTATTTTTTATTAAGACAGAGTCTCCTGTAGCCCCAGTTGGCCTGGAACTCACTATGTAGACCAGGCTGGCCTCGATCTCACAAAGATCTGCCGGCCTCTGCCTCCCAAGTGCTGAGATTAATAGTTTCTTCACTTCTTACTATATGCCTTATTACTAAGTAGACACACACCCCTCATATTTTAATATCATGACTCAAAGAGACAAGTACTATTACTTTCTCCATTTTAAAATGACAAAACTCAAATACATAGAAATTGCTCCTCATCACACAACCAGAAAACAGTAGAGCCCATATTCAAAGCAACAGTGAATCCAGAGTCTCCACTGTATTCCTGAGCACAGAGGTTGGCAACCTTCCTGTAAACTGACAGCATAAATAGTTGAGGCTTTGCAGGTCATAAGGTGTCTTTCACAACTCAACTCTACCAGTGTAGCACAAAAACCAGCCATAGGCTGTACATTAAAAAGATGAGTATGTCCCTGGGAAGATCAAACTTCATTAATGGACACTGAAACTGAGTTCCATATAACTTTCACAAATAACAAAATATCCTCCTGTTCTTTCCCCAAACATTTAAAAGCATAAGGATATTCTCAGTTCACAGACTGGCAAGAGCCAGATTTAACCTAAGGGCTACAGCTTGCTAACACATGTTCTACTTTTCCTGCCCTTCTTTTTATTTCTGCTTTACTTGTCTGTTTCCCCTAGGCCATTCCAAAACCATCCCATCCTTTCGCTGCACCATTTCCTCAAGATGCTTCCAGCTCTTCAAGCCTCACACCATTTTCTCTCTTCCCAGATGTTTTATACATAAAACATAGAACTCTAAGTACAGTAGCTGGGATTCATACAAGTTGAGTCATTTATGACGGAAAGTTTCCTATCACCAACAAGACTTGAAGCTCTTACAGGGGCTTTTTATGCCCTGCCTTGCTCTCTAAAAAAAAAAAAAAAACAAAAAAAAACTAAGCCCTCCCCTGCCTAACTGCTTCTCTTCTCTATATCCAGGGTATAGAGTGAACTGGTAAGTGGGATTTGTAACCTCAATGCAATGCTTGAGAGGGAAGTCTAATTTCTAATATCCTCCTGTTCAATGAAGGCTTGGGGAAAACATGGGACATGCACTACACTTGCATCTCCAGAACCAAAACAACAACAACAACAACAACAAAAAAAAAAAACCCGAACTGTTGCTTTGGCCTTAGCACTGGTTTTTGCAGACTCCTCTTGGTATTTCTAGCCATCTGCAAAATTGAAAGCTCATAGGTCTCACTACAATAATAAGGCAGCCACATGTTCTTATTTCAAACATTACTTTGTGTTTGTGATTTTGTCTTATGTATCTCCTGAGACTGGAAAATTATATGCCTATTTCCTTAATAACTCTTTCAGGGCGCCTACTCATGCAGTACCAAGCCTACGACAGTCCTCTGAGGGTCCTGAAAACAGCAGCATTGCAGGGCCCAAGTAAAGACTACGGGAAGTTAATTTTTCTCTGTGTGGCCCAGCAGACCAGTCAGAAGGTAGCCTTATGTACATTGCACAACAGCAGTTCTAGTCAGTCAGAGTGGGTTTCCACAACGATCCTCTTACCAGACACAGGATTAGGAAGCTACTACCCAGCAGCTAACGGACTAGTTATCAGAAGCACAGTACTAACAGTTTCTGGTCACTCTGCTAGCTTACTGCCTGTCACCTAAAAGCTGCCACCCTTTAGCATGCCACTCCCATCTATTTCTAGAGTCAAAGGAGGAGTAGACCAAAGATTATTGTTAATCTTTTTTTAAAAAAAAGTTTTGACTTCATTAGTGCATTAGAAATTGTTCACATTTAGATATTCACCTTGAGATTTGATAGCTGCTACTTGTAAAAAACAAAACAAAGAAAAACCCCAAAAACCTCAGTACTCGTGCAAATAAACCAGTCTTCCATGTGCATTAGCATCCATGTAAAATTTCTCCACTGTTTATATACAAAACACTCACCACGTTGGCAGGGAAAATACATAGTTTCATAGAAAAAACTATAATGTATCTCTTGTATGTATGAACAATACACACATAATACAAGGTACACAGTATTTACAAAATATAAAATATCATACAAGCTGTTTGTATGGAACTGTAAGCTCATCTTTTGTATTTGAATGCTACAACATGGCAAATTTCCATTGTTGTATCAATTTCCTTTTAGAGTGCAGGGATTTGGGAAAAACTATGTTTAACAAACATACCGAATCCTAAAAATCTAAGTCTGAGCTTTCAGGAGCATTTTTGAGTGCACTGCCATCAGCTCCCTGTTCTGGTTGGAATTTTCAGCAGTGCTTCCCATCCAGTAACTAGGAGGCTTTGGAAGAACACTAGGATAAGGTGGATCACTAAACTCTGCCTCAGCATAATTTTCTTTCAGGCTCACTTCAGTTAGAAATGCTGATTTCTTCAAATGAGTGTTTTGAATGTTCTCGGTGTTTTTAAAAGGCTTTCTTTCCTGCTTCTGCATTTTATCAGGAGAAGCAAAATCCCGCCAAAAGTTACTGTAATTCCTTTTTTTTTGCAGAGGTGATCTTGGTTACTGGCAAGTTATTTTTGCTTATCTGTCTATCTTTGTTCCCACAAGTGTACAACATGCACAAGTTGGCTGTGGGGAAGAATAACTTTCTCTGATTTTTCCATCTTTGATTTTAAAACTGAGGAAGAAAATTTTATGCCCCCATTATAAAGTTTTCTTACCTGCTTCGTTCTATGCTGAGATTCTGTGGATAAATTATTGTATGTATAATGTGCTTGGGTGATGCCGCAGAATAATACCGCAACCACACCTGCAAAGACAGTGAGGTTCAAGCTCACATAAAAGGCAGGCTCCTACATCTTATACCAAGGCTCTTATTTTACAGAAGAAGACTTTATGCTTACTGCTCACATTTTCATTGATTTTGACTTACTTTGTTGAGAGCAATTAATTGCTTCCACTGAAAGTCTTTACATTCTAACCTGTAGCCTGAATCCCAACCACAACAAGCACGCTCAGATATTAAAGGCGTTGATCCCCTTGGAAAAGTGGCTCTCTAAGTCACTCCTCACTGGGGTCTACAATCCAAAGGAGCAAGTCACATACCTGTGAATCCCCATGCTTCGGCCAAGAGGAAGGTGCTCCAGGACATCAAGAAGAACAAGCCCGTCTCCAGCAACTGGAACTCCCGCAATTTGGTGAATTTTGTCACGTAAGACTGTTAAGCTTGGCAACAATATCTCAAAATACATAAATATGACTACAAAAGGAACAGTCAATGCAAGGTAGTCTGGAATTAAGAGAGAGGCTCTTGAGTCGAACACAAAAGCCACAAAGAGGCAGCAATGTGAAGAAATTCTTGGAATAAGATCTTACAGATATGTCAGCTGCCTTCCTATCAGTGAGAATATCTCATAGCTTAGGTGTTCTTACTGATTTATGGGTACAACATACCTTGCAGAAAATATACTAGAAGACAGAGGTGAGAGAAACAGACTGGTCACACAATCACACCAACTCTATTAATTTGTGGCCCAAAGCAAGACAGCTTCCATAATTAGAACAATTTGCATTTATAAAAACATATAACTTCTGTTGGAGTCCACATGTATTTGGTCCTCTAATTCATCTGCAAAATACAGAATTCATCCCATGATGAAGAAATGGAGGTGCTACACACTTCCTTACACTAATCTAAAAAACATATATTGGGCCAGGCAGGGTAGTGCATGCCTTTAATCCCAGTAGACAGAGGTGGATCTCTGTGACTTAGAAGACAGCCTGGGCTATATAACAAGTTCCAGGCCAGCTGAAACAGTCCCCAAAACAAAAAATAGTATATATTGGGTGACAGTGCAAGGGCCTGTGCCAAGTTTTGACAAATCTTAGCTTAGAATCTAGAGTCAATTGATGAACTATGTACTGTAACAAATGACGAACAAAACATTTCCTACCCCAGGGAACTTGTACCATGGAAGAGATTCTGTCTGTACTGGCTCTCTTCAAAATATTTTTACTGCCTTTTATGCCCCAGTTCACCTATTAAAAAGCCATTAGAGAAGTCTCTTCTAGTACAAAACTGAAATATAGCAAATCAAGAGATTCTTCAAGAAGAGTCACACATTTGTCTTAAAGACATGAAAGTGTCTTTAAGATTGATAGTTGGATGGGGCTGCAGAGATGTGCGGTTGAGTGCTTATTGCTCTTCAAGAGGACCCAAGTCGGGTTCCCAGCACCTACATTGGGTGGGTCACAACCACCTGTAGCTCCAGCTCCAGAGGGGCGCAACCCCCTCTTCTGGCCTTTTCAGGCATTACAATCATGTGCACATACACAGACATATAAACACACAATACACAAATAAAATTTTTTAAAAATACTTTAGGGGCTGGAAAGATGGCTCAGTGGTTAAGAACACTGGTTGTTCTTGCAGAAGACCTGGGTTCGAATCTCAGCACCCACATGGCAGCTAACAACTGTCCATAACTCCCATCCCAAGGGATCCAACATCCTCTTCTGACTTTGGACATTGCATGACACAGGTGTACTTACCTAGGTGCAGGCAATACATGCATACACATAAAATAAAAATAATAAATAAAAATTTTAAAAAGTTAAAAATAAATAAATAAATAAACACTTAAAAAATTTATAGCCAGGAACTTTGGGGCTCATCTAGTCCTACTCAATTCTCCTTACCCTTTACTCTCTGGACTGAGATCCAAAGAGTTCAAGTGTCAAAACCTCTAGCATATTTGTGTCTGCCGGTAGGGGCCCATGTTTATTTATCTTTGATATGCAGAGCACAGTATCTGGCATGTAGCAGGCAATCGGGAAATGCCTCTGAATGAATGTACAAATCACCTGTCAGTACTTCTAGCTAGTGACAATATCAGGACTACAGCCCAAGGCTCTGGTGAAAAAAGTGATTAGGAAAACAGATGAACTCTTCCATATACTCACCCAGGAACTGCATTCCATGGGTCACCATGACCTTACATTGTCTGTTCTACTAAACAAAGAGTAGAATAATCAGAGACTTTGGGGAATGCATTCACTTTACATCAATTTAATCTACAATCATAAAATTCAACCTTAAACTCCTTAAAGAGATGCTGTGTCTAACCAGAGACTCTTACAGTGCAAGATTTAGGGCATCCTGACATTGTGGTACATGCCAATAATTCTAGCACTCAGGAGGCTGACGTAGGAAAATCATGAAATCGAGGGCAGCCTGGGCCACATAATAAAATTCTGTCTCAGAAAAGGGTATGGGGACTATGGATGAAGCTCAGTTGGTAGAGGGCTTGTCTTACATGCATGAATTCCTGGGTTCCTTCCCTAATGCCACATGAACTGGGTATGGTGGTACATACCAGTATTTCTAGCACTTGGGAAGTGGAAGGAAGAGGATCAGAAATTCTAGGGCATCCTCAGCTACATACGGAATTTAAAGCCATGCTGGAATACATGAGATCCTGTCCCCCACAAAAATGTTTTAGGACACTGGCTCTGCAGAACAATGAAGTTGCTGCTTTATGTTTTCACATCAAGTTCTTGGTTATAAGATAAATAACTATAAAACAATTCCAACCATGGGTTGCTTCATCCAGTTACCTGAGTAGGTTAACAATAAAAAATAAGTATAGTAAAAGGATATTAAAGCTGTCACCACTCCTGTCGCAGCACCCATTGCAAAAGATCCACTGAAGATCCCAAGGAAGATCCCAATAGACTTGAACATGGCTGTGACATCAAAGGTGTGACTGTTGTCTCCAGCTGGTTGGTATGCCACTATTGAGCTACAAAAGACAGATTGCTCTTAATTCTAGAAGCAATTTTTACTTTAAAAATAGTATCTAAAGCTGGGCATGGGAACACACACCTGTAATCTCAGCATTTGAGAGGCTGAGGTAGGAATATCACCAGTTCTAAGATAGCCTAGGCTACATAGTGAGATCCTGTATCAACAAAACAAAACAAACAGAAAACCAGAAAAACATTTTCTAGTATAGAACTTTAAAGACAAAAATCAGAGGAAGAAAGAGAACCCCAAATCTTTGGATGAGAATTGCCAAAATAAGGACAAAAAATATCCTGGGGTTTATGCAGCTAACAAGAAAGCTCAGCTTTTTTTTTTTTTAAAAAAAAGTAACAGTTTCAAGAGCAGAACATTGTAAAAGCCTCTATATAAAAGTTTTACCAAGTCTTTTCATCCTCAATACTGCAGTGTTATTTCTGTGTGTGATTCTGTTGAAGAATTTACTTGTTCTGAGTGCCACAAAACACTAATATACTAATGAAAACAACCTAATGAAAAACTCCACTTGTTTCCCGCAGAGGCATAAGAATATAAAGAATATTTTTCAATACTTAACCCAGTTGCATTTGGTTTGTCTTATGGGAAAACGAAGGTAAATAAAGGACCTTTCCAACTTTTAAAATACCAGAATGGGCCAAATGCTTAATAGCTATTCACTCACTGAAATAGACTTCTATAAGAAAAAGGACTCAAAAGGCCTTCCAAGGAATTAGAATCCACTCAGGAGTACTTTGAGTGTACCCAGCTGGACCCTCCACCCTAAACTTCTGAAAGAGAGTCACTCTGTGCCAAGCCAACACAGGCAGTTATAAGAGACACTCTCCATCCTGAACTCCAAGTCCAAACCTGGTCTGAAAAAGCTTCTTTATAACAGTCACCCCAAGAAATAGAAATGGCTGAGAAAAATCACTCTTGCCAGCAGGTCTCTGCCAGCAGTGCTTACAGTCACTAAATCAGCTCTCATCTCAGTGAATTGAGGCTACCTCAATTAACTTTATAAAGTTATATAAAGAAGCTTTATAAAAAGTCCAGACTGAAAGACATCATATAAGAAAAGGAATAAAAACACATTCCTAAGACTATTATTAGCTCTCCTTGTTGTTATTCTAATGTGTCTTTCCTGGTTCGAGGCTAAAAAGTGTGCTACTTCTACAATGCATAACAAGTGCTTTTCACAGCTTCCATGTTAAACTGCTAAAAATCTAAGACCAAATCAAAATTTAATAATTTGTATCTATTTTACTGAAGTACAATATCAATTTGTTTAATGACATAAACAATTTCTGACATGCAATCTGAATTAAAATTTTTACACATTTGTGTTTAAATGCTCAATCTAACCAGATCATTTGGATTTTATACTATTTTAACAAACATTAAATGGTTTTGAAATATCAAGATGTTTACATATACACAAACAGTCACAGCATTGTCAGTGAGATCTGACTATGCCATGTAACATTAAAATACAATCTGCAAAAAGGATAAAACACTTCACAGCAACCGAGTGCAAGGCCAGCCTGGTCTACATAGAATGTTCCAAACCAGCTGGGGCTACTGGGAGACCCTGTCTCAAAAAAAACAAAAATAAAAATTTTAGATGAAGCAAAACATGGATGCCATGCCTGCTATCATTATTTTCTTCTTTAATCAAAAAAAAATTTAAAACTCATGGAAAACATGACGGTCTTGTCTTCGTTTTAGGCAAATGCTGACCTCTGAAATGACATTTTAACTTGCTTTTTCCATATCAGTAAACATTTTATCTTGTGACAAAAACATTTAAATGAATAGTTAAAAAAAGAACCCCAATAGGGGCTGGTGAGATGGCCCAGCGGTTAAAGAGCACTGACTGCTCTTACAGAGGACCCAGGTTCAGTTCCCAGCATCCACATGGTGGCTAACAACTGTAACTCCAGTTCCAGGGGATCTGACGCCCTCTTCTGGCCTCTGTGGGCATTTCATGACTGGACCCACTTACATACATGCAGGCAAAATACTCATACACATAAAACAATAAATAAATCAAAAAGTTTAAAAATCCTAATAGTCATCCAATATATACTTGAGGAAAAAAAATCATCACATCATCTACTACCCTACAGATGTGTTTTATTTCCCTTCTATATTTATTCTCTCCCCTTTCTGTTACAGGGATACTATTTCACATTTAGTTAGAATCATAGTGAATACACAGTTTTGAATTGTTTATGAGTCAGGGTCCCATATGTAGAGTAGTCTTGGCTGGATTTGAACTTACTGTATAGCTGAGGATGACCTTGAATTTCTGATCCTCCTGCCTCCACCAGCTAAGTGCTGGGAATATAGGTATTCACCACTATGCCTGGTTTTAATGCAGTGCTAGAGGACTAAACCCAGGGTGTCCTGAATACAAACCAGTCTAGCAAGCAACTGTGCTACATCCCCAGCCTGCAGCTTTGAATTCCACCTCTTTAACCAACAATGAAATACGAATTTCCCAGCATCCACATGGTGGCTAACAACTGTAACTCCAGTTCCAGGGGATCTGACGCCCTCTTCTGGCCTCTGTGGGCATTTCATGACTGGACCCACTTACATACATGCAGGCAAAATACTCATACACATAAAACAATAAATAAATCAAAAAGTTTAAAAATCCTAATAGTCATCCAATATATACTTGAGGAAAAAAAATCATCACATCATCTACTACCCTACAGATGTGTTTTATTTCCCTTCTATATTTATTCTCTCCCCTTTCTGTTACAGGGATACTATTTCACATTTAGTTAGAATCATAGTGAATACACAGTTTTGAATTGTTTATGAGTCAGGGTCCCATATGTAGAGTAGTCTTGGCTGGATTTGAACTTACTGTATAGCTGAGGATGACCTTGAATTTCTGATCCTCCTGCCTCCACCAGCTAAGTGCTGGGAATATAGGTATTCACCACTATGCCTGGTTTTAATGCAGTGCTAGAGGACTAAACCCAGGGTGTCCTGAATACAAACCAGTCTAGCAAGCAACTGTGCTACATCCCCAGCCTGCAGCTTTGAATTCCACCTCTTTAACCAACAATGAAATACGAATTATATAAGCAATATATTTAAGAATTCAAAATAGCATAAATAGCATTATTTATTTAACCATCCCCCATTATTAGATATTTAAAAGCTATTCTAGGGGCTGGGAATATAGTTAAGCAATAGAGCACTTGCCTAGCATGCAAAAGGCCCAATGTTTTGATACGAAGCAGCACAAAAATTAAAAAAAAAAAACTAGACTTCAAAAGTTGCTCCTAATATTTGCTTCTATAACAGTATAGAAGAACATCTTTGTGACTTTTTATATATCTTGGACTATATCCTTGTTCTACACTCATAGAAAGAGTGTATTATTATATCTACAACTTTTTTTTTTATGTGCTGATCAACTGCTTCCAAAGCAGCTTTCATTTTGGGGGAGAAATATGACAATATCTATCCATTTTTTAAATGGTTTATAGCCCTCTATCTAGAAATTCTGCTTTTAAAACATATTCTTGATTTTAAAACCTTATGGTACAGGTAAAGGCACTTGTTGCCAAGTCTGATGACCTGAGTTCTATCCCCAGAACCCACAGGGCAGAAGGAGAGAAGGAGCTCCTGCAAGTTGTCCTCTGACCTCCACTCACTGAGCCATGTTTCCAGCCCTTAAAAATATTTTTAAAGGATTGTAAATTTAACAGGCTCAAAAAACAGAGACACAAGTTCCAAAATTAAATTGAAAGGGTTGACTTAACCTGTTCGTTGCCAAACAATTCTTTCAGAAAGGCATTCCCACGCCTGTGACGCAAAACTACTTTATGGAATATACACAGCAATTGGTAAACTAAGGGAATGCAATACAAGTAGACTATATCGAACATGTATAGTATAGGCCAATGAAAGATGTCTAGTAACCACCCACGGACAGCAACACAACTGGTTTCCCTCCTGCCTTTAGGTGGGAACCCATTTGCTCAGCTCCATCAAGACGCGCCCCTAGCTAAAAATTCCACTGCTACAATGATACTCTCTGAGTAAAACCTCCATGAAGGCTGCAGCAGAGCATGTGATGAATTAACCTATCTCCTGTCAGTTAACCTATCTCCTGTCAGTTCAGAAAGCTGCTAGCTATGCACCAACCTCAAGAGAATTAAGAAAGGAGCCAGGCATGATAGTGCACACTTCTAATCCCAGCACTCAGGAGGCAGAGACAGGCAAATCTCTATGAGTTTGAAGCCAGCATGGTCTATATAGTGGGTTCTACACCGGTTGGGCAGACAGGGAGACCCTGTCTCGTTTCTATCAGGTTTATTTCACTCACAGAAAGCAGTCTGAGAAAGGCTACAATAGGAGAACTGTAGCCCTTTGTGAGGACCTTTATGGGAAAGCTTTCTCCTTTTCACACACTTCTTTCTCCACGAACACTAATACCAACAAGCTCAAACTCTTTCAGTGTATTTGTTTTCCTTAATGCTAATCAAATACGAAAGTTACAGGAAATAGGTTAGTGAATAAATGAAAAAAGTAAAGTACACATTAGTTTAAGATAGGACCAGACCAGAACAGAGATTTTTTTCTGGATTTTAACTCATTAGGGTAATGAGAAAGGAACACATCACTAAGATGATGAAGCAGTAAAACAATTGTCTAGGATGAGGAATTGATGGTATAGGTAACTGCCTATACACAGTATTCTCTTCACTTAGCACTGGCGATCTCACATATACCTCTGTACTAGAAGCTTCAAGATCCTTATAGCTTCATGTTGCTGTAACACATAGATTACAAGTACACTGTCTACTTCTTCCTCCCTTCATACATTATACAGTTTTTATCTTGCACCCATCATCACTGAAGGCACTTACGTTTAGCATCAGCACCTATATTAGTTATAGTCTTTGGATTTTATCTCTTCAATTGGGTTTACGTTAGTTATATAAAAAATTCTGGAAACACAGCAGAGAAGCAAGAAACATAATATGGCATTCATAAAAAAAGGGTTTGACCTTTAAGACACTGCCATGCACATCACCGAAGGGATTACTATTACATCTCAAAAAGGATTATTTCTCATTGTGTAGTAAAGGCAACAGTGGCACTCAGGCAATGCAAACTAGAGTCAGTGACTCTTTTATAGCTAAGTAGAAATAAGGAGAGAAATTAAAATGAGAAAACATGAATGGCTTTTTCTTCTTGCTCACAGAAAGTTTTGCTGTAAGATAAAGGCAGCAGGTTCACATGATTATATATTTCCTTAGTAAGAGTGGCTAGGCAAGGGTGACTTCCTCAGGGATTCAGAACCATTCTTCTGCTTTCAAAACACCTTGTAATAACACATAGAATAAGCGGGGCATGGTGATGCATGCCTATAGTCCCAGCACTTGCGAGGCAAAGGCAGGTGGATGTCTGTGAGTTCAAGGCCACCTGGTCTACATAGTGAGGTCCAGGCCAGGAGCTGGGGCTACAGGGAAACCCAGTTTCAAAAAACAACAACAATAAAAATAGCATAGAATAATTTTGATAATTAGATTAAAGGTATCACTCATTTAATAATTATCTTCAATAAAAGTATAACATGCTGAGATAAAAATTTATTTCAGATGACTATTTTAAATAAGAGAATTAAACTACAATATATTTCTCAATTATCAAGCTGATAAAATTATAAAAATTGGACAAATAGTCTATCAGGGAAGCCACAAGCAAATACATACTCTCATCATTTGATGGTTAAGGTATAAAGTAACACAATCTTTTGGCTAGCAATTTTCCAATGTTAAATAAAATTAGGATTGTATTAGTTATCCTTTAAACCACCCACAAATGTCAGTCACTTCTGAGAATTCTTCCTATCATATACCTATATCTGTGCAATATGAAGAAAGTTATGTTAAACATTGCATATCATTTGGGATAGCAAAGAACTAAAAAATTCCTCATGAATCCAGCATTAAAAGACTGGGGAAAATTATAGTATAGCTCACACACGGATGACAACAAATCTACAAAGAATAAGAAAACTCTCTTAATATAAAGTGTAGCCAGAAAATAACCATGTTCTTACATACGCATATAGTGAGCTACTTTCAAAATCAGAAATGAGTGACTGGGGATGTACCTAAGTGTTAGAGCACTGCCTTAGCATGCACACAGTTATAGATGTAATCCCAGCACTGCAAAAAACAAAAATAAAAAAGAAATGAGGACAAAATAAAAATATATATTCATGTCTGTGATTACATTTCAACAAACACTAGAATATAAAAGAAACTAATAAAAATGGCTACCTCTAACGAGCTGAAATACAGGAAGAAAAGGATTCAAAAAAGATCATAATTTGTGTATAAACCTTTTCATATAATTTTGATTTTTTAGCCATATTAATGTATTAGCTATTCAAAAATTAAGTCTAAGTAAAAAAATTAAGCATTCATGTCATAATGTTAAAACAGTTAATAAAATTACACAGACACTATAACCATCATTATGTAAAAATATCATAAACAGAAAAACAGTAGAAGGAAACATCATAGAATATTTACAGGAATCGTTTTAATATGGTAGGAATATAAATAATAAATCTTTAATTTTTTATGTATTTTCTAAGTTATCTATAAAGCATATGTTCCTGGCAAAGCAAGGGAAAAAAGCCTCATTCTTCCAAATATTTGTATTCATAATGTACTTTATTCAACAAGTGACTTAACATCTAGTGCCCTGACATGTAACATTCAGAATAAAAAAAGAAACACTTACGAGGACAGCACTATGGCAACAGCATCATTAAGGACACTTTCACCAAAAAGGAGTGCATAGAGTTCCACGTCAACCTGAAGCTCGTGGAAGATGGCAAGAACAGTCACTAGCAAATAGAAAGAACCAGAAGAATATTTAGACATTACAAATATAATGTATATACTTCCCTCAATAGCTGATTATATGTTATTTAGACATTCATTTCTTCCTTTTTAAAAAAATTTTAAATATTTTATTTATTATTTTATTTTTATGTGTATGAGTGTATTGCCTGCATGTATGTGAGTGCACCCGTGTCATGCAATGAATGCCACAGAGGTCAGAAGAGGGCTTCCAACTCCCCTGGACCTGGAGTTAAGGACGGTTCGTAGCCGCCATGTGGGTGCTGGGAATCAAACCCGGGTCCTCTGCAAGAGTAGTCAGTGCTCTTAACCACTGAGCCACCTCTCCAGACCCTAGTTCTTCCTTTTTAATACTCTCTTACTGAATTAAAGATGTAGTAACTTTATGTAAATATGTGCCCCTAATTGTGTACATGCAACACCTAATTTCTCAAAAACAGTTGAAAACAACTGTGAAGACCTGAATTAGCCTACAATCGTCATGCAAATTTTAATAGTCTAGCTCTGAACTTTTTTCTGTACAGAATATATCCATAATTTCTTACAAATTAGGTCATGATGACTCTTGAATAAAGAAGAATATATGAACGACATCTCTGCAAACACCCCATTTTCCTTGGAGCTTTACAAGTAACTTCTATTTGACTTGCAAATTGCAAGCATACAAAGTTTAGTAAAGACTGTAGAAAATGAAACATGAGTTTAACATTGGTTGCCATAAAATGTATGACCACAATAACAGTTGCCATACTTAACTGAAGAAGAAGGCAACTATCAGATTATTACAGAGTAAGAACAACGAAAAACACGACTCCTTCTTTTAGAGAAGCAATTATACTAGAATTCTTAGAAAAATCAGGTAAGACTGAGAAGTTGCATTTGTAACTTTTTTTTTGGTCTTTTTGAGACAGGGTCTCCCTGTAGTCCCAGCTGTCCTGGAACTCACTATGTAGACCAGGCTGGCCTTGAACTCACAGAGATCCGCCTGCCTCTGCCTCCGAAGTGCTGGGACTACATGAGTGCACCACCACGACCAGCTGCATGAGTCACAAATTGCTCGCCCATTAAATAAACCTGAGCAAACATGAAAGATTAATATAGCTAGAGATGGAAAAGCATTTTCAAATGTCAAACATAAAAAACAGGAAGCTTGCATCTCACTTTAAAGTTTACTTTTATTTTACGTATATGAGTATTTTGCCTGCATGTATGTAGGCACTCCACATGTATGCAGTGCCAACAGAGACCAGAAGAAGGCATTGGATCCCCTGGAACTGGCGTTACAGATGGCTGTTAGCCACCATGTGGGTGCTGGGAACCAAACTTGCATCCTCTGAGTGAGCATCCAGTGTTCTTAACCACTTAGCTATCTCTCCAGTCCCAGGAAGCTTGTGTTTTAAAAGACATAATTTCTATTGCAAAACGTTGCAGCTGGCGTATACTGACCTCAGAGCATAGGTATGATAATATGTCAATGTCTACATGTATGAAATTCTCAAAAAGAAATAAAAAGTTTAAAAGCTTACCAAGAGAAAGAGAAAAGGAGACTGGAGAAATACTATTGAATTTTGAATAGAAAAACCTATGCCTCAACTTTCTAGAAAGATAGTAACTGCAAAATAATAGACTGGAGAAAGTGCCTATATAACCACCAAATCCATGAAACTTCATATAAGCAAAAGACGGTTGGTTGCTTGAGCTGTTCAGGCAATACTCCAACCAAACCAAAATCAGAAGGCTGAAACAATTTGCCACTTCAATCAACTTTGACTTCTCACAGGCTTTAGACTGTCAAGGAGCCTGCTTCTGCCAAAAAACAAGGAAACCTTGAGACCACAGGCTCCTACAAACCCATCCTAGCTTCACATTGACAACGGGAGCAACTACAAAAATAATGGGATGACTTGGGTGGTCTTTAAGGAAGCAATGTGATTTCCAGTTTTTTTTTATGTTAATCTAGAACCAGGTATGGTGGCTCACATCTGTAATTTCAGCACTGAGAAGATGATGCAGGAGGATTACCATGAGTTTCAGGCCGTGCAGGACTACATAATGAGTACCAGCCCAGCCTGAACTACATAGCAAGAAACTATCTCAAGAGAAAAATCAGTAGAGGCAGGCCAGATCTCTGTGAGATGGAGGCCAGCCTGTTCTACTTAGCGAGTTCCAGGCCAGCTGTGGTTACAGGGAGACTCTGTCTCAAAAAGACCAAAACAAAACAAAATAAAAACAAATGACCAAAACAAAATAAAATAAAGTGACCAAAACAAAATAAAAACAAAAAGACCAAAACAAAACAAAATGATGTCAAACTTAGCCAGACCTAGTGCCACAAACCAGTAGTTACAGATACTCCAGCGGCTTAGGCAAGAATATCCCAAGTTCAAGAACTGCCTTCGCTATGGAATGGGTTGAAGGACAGCCTAGGGAACTTAGCAAGACTCTATCAAAAATAAAAAGTATACCCAGGTATGGTGGTACACACCTTTAAGCCCAGCATTCAGGAGGCAGAGGCAGGGGGATCTCTGTGAGTTCGAGGTCAACTTGGTCTACACAGAGAATTCCACACTAGCCAGGGCTACACAGTGAGACACTGTCTCAAAAAAAAAAAATAACCAAACAAAAACCAATCAATCAATCAATCAATCAGAAGTCCAGGGCCTGGGGAGATGACTGAGTTGGTAAAGTGCTTGCCATGCCAGTATGAAGACCTGAGTTTAAAGGTCCAGGACCTACATGAAAAGCCAGCGGTGGTGGTATATGTCTGTTATCCCAGTGCTGGGGAAGAAGTGGATCCCTGGAGCTCACTGGATACCTAGTCTAGCCAAAAGTGGTGCTACGCAGGCTCGGTGAGAGACCCTGTCTCGAACAATTAAGATGGAAAGTGATAAAGACACCCAATGTTGACCTCTGGCTTCTATATACATGCACACATAGTGCACATACCCACAGAAACACATACAGGCGCATATACATACTCCACACTAAATAACTACATAAATACATACATTCATACATAAATAGTAGCTCAGAGTGTTGGCTTAGTATGTATGGGTCTCTACATTCTATCCCAGTACCACAAAAAAAATAAAGATGTTATACTATACAAATGTCTCTCTGAAATGGCCTGCTGGGAAATCTTTTCATTTGGTTGGGTGGTTTTTACATTATTTTGAGACAGAGTCTCACACTATAACCCAGGCTGGTTACAAGTTCTCTAGCTTCCTGCCTCTGTTTTCCAAGTGTTGCGATTACAGGTATGTACACTATGCCAAGCCCTGAATAATCCTTCAAAATCATCTCCCATGGCATAAAGGCCACAGTTTTCTCCTTTCCACGATAGTGTGTGATCAAAGTTAACACAGGAATTCAAAGATGACCTTAGGACACTAGCTGTAATTGTGCTCTATGACAATCAAAGAAGATAATTAACTTAACAAGGTCAAAAGATGAAACAGAATAAACCTCTACCAAAGTCCTAACTAATAATAGTAAAAGAACTCTACCTCAGTTCCAAAACTTCAGTCTAGAGGCTAAAGGTACAGTTCAGTGGCAAAGCACTTGCTCATGAGCAAGGCCTGGACTCCATCCCCAACATTAAACAATCAAAAACAAAAACAAAAAATCTTCAGTCCTTTCCCATGCTGGCCTTTTTCCCATTCATTTTTATTACCATATATTGACTGTACAAACCAATGAGTTTCATTATGTTGTTTTCATGCCTGCATATAATGTACACTGATTGTATTCACCCCCATTGTCTTCCCTTTTCTCCCTATCAGCTCCTCCCCTCTCTCTTGCCAAATATTCCCCCTTCTACTTCTATGGTTTTTCTTTTTAAATCTTGGTTCTCCAAATGGCAGAAAATATATGACATTTGACTTTTTTAGTCTGGTATAGTTCACTTAACATGATTGCCAGTTCCATTCATTTTCCTGAAAATAACATAACTGCATTGTTTTCTTAGATAATTACGTTCTTTATGGATGAATAAAACTTCATTGTGTGCATACATGCATGTATGTGTATATATTACATTTTCTTCAGCTTTTTATTTGTGGATGACTGCCAAGGCTGATTCCTAATTTAGCTATTGTGAATAGTACTGCAATCAGCATGGGTGTACAGTTATCTTTGCAGTGTCCTGGTTTACATTCCTTAGGGTATACACCTAAGAGTGATATAGCTGGATCATACAGCTATAATTCTATTTTTAGGGTTTTTTTTAGGATCCCCCATACTGATTTCCATAGTGGCTTAACGAATTTTCATTCTTACCAATAGTGTAAAAAGGTTCCTTTTTTATTGAGACAGTATCTTACTCTATAACCCACGCTGTCTTCACATGGCAATCCTTCTGCCTCAGCATCTCAAGTGTTAGAATTATAAGTATGGGCCACCACATTCCAACAAGGGTTCCTTCCCCCAACTCCATAGCTTCACCAGCACATGCTGGTATTTGTTTCCATGATAACAGGCATCTCGATGGGGGTGGAAAAGAATCTCAATACAGTTTGGGGGATTTTTTTTTGAGACAGGGTCTTGCTATGTAGCCCTGGCTGCCTGGAGCTTGCTATATAGACCAGGCTGGCCTCAAACTCACAGAGATCCACTTGCCTCTGCCTCCTTAGTGCTAGGATTAAAGGCATGGACCACCACACCCAGCTTCAATGTAGTTTTGATTTGCATTCCACCAATGGCTAAAGGTGTGGAGCTTTAAATTTATTTGCCATTTGTTCTTCTTTTGAGAAGTACCTGTTAAGTACATTGAACCACTTATTAACTGGATAACAATTTTTGGTGTTGAGCTTTTTGAATTCTTTACAGGTTCTGTATATTTATCCTGTCTTTTCATTCTACATTTTCTCTAAACTCCTCATTTAAATAAATATATAGCTGCTAGTTTATCAATACTGTTTTTAAAAAATAAACTTCATTTAGCAATTAAATTACTCTATAACACAAATTTTTAGAAATCTGGTACTAAAGCACAAAGAAGTAAGCTTTGTCAGTAACAAAACAATTTTGGAACCAGGCCAATTTTATAAAAAGCAATTCATTAATATCTAGTGAAAACTGCCAATGATCCCAAATCATGATCATACTAGCATAGCTGCCTTCTGGCAACCAATCTGAAGCTGTTTTTCTTGGTTAGGCCACATAGCTCAGGCCTGCAATCACAGCATGAGACATGAGGAGGCAAGAGGCTATTATGACTTTGAAGTCAGTCTGCGCCACACAGTGAGTTCCAAGCCAGCCTAGGCTAGAGAGTGACCCTGTCTCAAAAGAACAGAAACAGCCAGGTGTGGTGGTACATACCTTTAATGCCAGGGGCAGGCAGACCTCTGTGATTTAGAGGCCAGCCTAGTCTACACAATGAGTTCCTGGCCAACCAAGGCTACATAGTGAGACCATGTCTTAAAAAACAAAAAAACAAAAAGAAAGACCCAAAACAAGGAGCTAGGAATGCAATTCAATTCACTTGGCAGAGTGCTTGCACACAGCTCTGGGTTCAATCCCTAGTGCTGCATAAGCGAGGCATGATGGCACACACCAATAATCCCAGCCCTCAAGAAATGGTGACAGGAGGATCAGAAGTTCAGAGTTATCCTTCGCTACATAGTGAGTTAGAGCCTAGCCTGGTAACCTTGGCTACATGAGACCCTGTCTCAGAAAAAAAAAATCTTCTTCTTACTGTAAAAGTCAAAGAGCTGAATATAAATACAAGATTTTTAAAGAATTGGGATTGTCTAGAACTGTAAAAGGAAGTGTATAATCAATTTTAGCAATTTAATATTTACTTTTTCTTTTGCTATACCTAATCACTAGAATATAAAGACCAATTCGAATTTCTGAAGAAAATATTTAATAGCTCTCATTTGGACAGCATCTTTTTGTGGATCAGTAATAGGCAAATGTAATAAATATTTTTTTAAAGTATGGTTTTGAAACAAAAGGCATTATGAATTGCTTCTCTCTCCAGAATTGGAAGTAGAGTGCTAATGAAGTACACAGTGATGGATTCTCCAGCTGAAAGACACATCCACATGGGCTTTGACTGGAAATACAGCATCTGAAGCATTCCAGCTCCAGTCATAAAGCATACCTGGGTCTGTTGCTGATACGATGGCACCAAACAACAAGCAATCTGTGAAGTAGAAGTCTCCTGCGAGCTGGCCAGTCACTTTCATCAGGGTTACACAGCCATACATTATGGACCTGGTCAAGAAACACACTCCTACTTCAGAAAAATAGCAACTATTACAGACGTGACAATAAAGTAAGCGCATGGAAAAAGATCTACTACAATATGTGAGTAACCCTGAGTTTAATTAATAGGTATTTAAAGAGGGTTAATACTTTAGCTTGAAGAAAAATTCAAACAAATTATTACTTATGCAAGAAGTACCCCCAAAATTCTTAGACACATTCAGGAATACAATAACACATAAATCAAATATAAGTCAACATGTATTATTTTAGAATTAAAATCTGAAGGGTAAAACAAGGCATTTCGAACATCAAGTGCTTACCCAATAACAAAACAAGAAATTGCTGTTCCAAGAAAGGCATACGCTAAGATCGACCCAAGGTTCCGAAAGAAATGTCTCTGACAAAAAAAAAAAAAATCTGTGTTAGACTATCAACAGAGTATTTCCTAAGAACATGTTTTTCTATTGTAGTTTGCTATGCCCATATTAAATGTTCACTAGAAGAAATCAGTAAGAGAAACCATTCTTGTGAACAAAGAGAGAGGGAAAGAGAACTTGGAAGAAATGTCCTGTTTGTCAAATGCCAAGTAGCATGAAGCCCAGGAAAAATTTCAGGCTGTTTAAGTACATGAAATGCAAATGTACTTACCCTTTTCAGACTATAACCTGCATAAAATATGATAGGAGGAAGCAGTATGTTGAAAAATACTTCTGGATCAAAAGTAACCTGTTAAAATAAAGCGTTCTTTTAGACTATTTCTCTTAGACTATCTCATACTACATTATCAAATTATCAAAAGGAAAAGTTTAAAGGCTAAACAAATCAACAGTAAGAACATTACTATGCTAACTTCAAAATATTTCATATAGTTTTAATTTCCATTTCCATGATACAAAACAGTTTTTCAAATATTTGTATTTGTACTTCTTTTAGGAACCATATGCTTAGTTCATTAGCCCATTTATGGACTGAATACATTTGGAATTTTATTTTTGCAGTTCTAGATTCAAAAGTTTAATTCAATTACTAATGTACACTTGGCAAGGATTTTTTTCTATTCTGGATGTTGCCTCTTCACTGTGCTCTGTGTGTGTGTGTGTGTGTGTGTGTGTGTGTGTGTGTGTGTGTGTGTGTGTGTGTAGGACACGAAGGTAGAAAGAGACGAGGAATGGAAGAGAAATGGAATATATGTGACAGAAGGGGGCAGGGAGACAGAAAAAGGGAGTGGGGGATGAATTAGAGCAAAGCATAATGACATATATGTATGAAAATAGCAAATTAAGCCAATCATTTTATATGCTAACTGACTGGATAGGACTTAACATGTACTACAGAATACATGAGGTCAGGTAGGGGGTTGGGGGGGCATGGAGGGGGGAGGGGGGTCTAAATTTGATTAAGAACTGTTGTATGAAATGTACAAAACTTAATAAAAATTTTTTAAAGTAAATATGTCAGATAGGGAGTATAATACTTCCATGATTTAGGCACATAATAGATTTTCTGTTATTTTTCCAATTAAAAAGTACAGGAGAGCTGTCTTACTTCCCAAACAAATGAGAGGGTAGCAGTGTTGTAATAATCAGTTACACCATATCTATGGAGAGCATGCTAAAACACTGTATTAAAAATCTTAGCAAGACACTGTGATACATGCCTGTAATCCCAGCATTTTGGAAAGGGGGCTGAAGCAGGAGTACCATGAGTTCAAAGTCAGCCTGGGCTACATAATAATAGGCCAGGACTACAGAATACGACTCTGTCTCAAAACAAAATAAATAAAATAAAAATCTTAAAAATTGGAAAAAGTTCCTGAGTGGCACTGTAAACATAACCAAATACACATAGCTGGAGAGGTCAAAGAACCTAGAGAAAACCTTACATCTGTCACATCCCTAGACAAACATAATTTCTTCCTGCATGTTAAATATATATCCTTATATTTACAGACAAGTATACCTCTTACCACTCATCAAAGAAGCTTCATTTTGTAACAGATGGAGACTATTACAGAGTTCTACAACTGGTCAGAAACAGAGAATAACTGTGAAATGCTCGGCCCTAAGTGTCACATCTACAATGGAGCCTCTACACCTAAGGGTCACAGAACACAGTGGAGCAGGGGGTAGAGAGAATACTAATGTGTCTCTCAACTCCCACCAGTGAAGCTTCCTCATGCAACAGAGGGCAATAAACACAAACAGGCACAACTGGCCAAAATGTAGAGAATAAGAGACTGTAGAGTGTGTGTCCGTGGACAGGACTCCTATTAAGACTTCAACCACCCAGGGCTCAGGGACCATTTTGGAAGAGGAGGCTGAAAGATTGAAAGGGCCATGGGTGGGTATGACTATAAGGAAGCAGTCCTCTAGGCTTCTGGGAACTTGCTCATATGAACTTACAGCAATGATAACAGGATGCACAAGATCCATATAAACTCAATCAGGGGAAAAGCAGCATAGAGCTGGAGAAGGGGGCAGCAGGTCCCAACCTTCACTGAGAAACTACTGGCAGCTGATCTCTGCTGGGTGAGAGAGAGTCAATCACCTTTCATTTTTATTTTTATTTTTATGTGTATTGCCTGCATGTATATAGATGCCCCCGTGTTATGCAATGCCCACAGAGGTCAGAAGACAGTATCAGATTCCCGTGGACCTGGAGTTACAGACAGTTGTTAGCCACCATGTGGGTACCAGGAATCAAACCCAGGTCCTCTGCAAGAGCAACCAGTGCTTTTAACCACTGAACCATTTCTCCAGCCTGGGAGAGTCAATCATCTTTAAGGGAATGAGGCTAGATAGGTTGAACAGGCTCCAGGGGATAAACTCACACCAAGAGACATCTAGGTAAACAAACTTGACTTGATAGGCCTTAACATATATGACAGAATGCATGCAATCCTGTGGGTGGGCTATCAGGGGGGTGCAGGTAGTGGAAGGGGTCTAAATATGCTTAAGATGTATTATATGAAATGCACAAAAAATTCAATAAATATATACATTGAAAACATAGAGAAAGTATAAACATACATTTGCTTTATTTGAAAGAGGCCCAAATCCAATAACAGAATTCAGGCTTTTATTTACTGTTGACAAGAGGAAACACACGTGCTACACAGGTATCTCTAAAGCTGAATAGCATAATAGGTAGTTAACACTTTCTATACAACTCAGAATTTCCAGTTCTCACAGCCTACTCATTTTAAAGTCTACTTGTTATAATAATGCAGATGCCCCCTTCTGATCAGAAGGCTGCAGTAGAATTTGATAGGCATGCAAAACAGCTATACACTTACCCATGCTAAAACTTACTTTACTAGAACTTTCAAGAACTGGACTTTTCCAAAAGTGGTAAGAATGCTGGTTGCAAAGTAAACTTTAAGTTTGTAGGAACTTTAAAACCACTAAAGACAGGAACACAACCAAGAAGCTACAAAAATCAAGTCCAGCTAACATAGTAGAGAGGAGAAACAGAAGGAAAAGGCAAAGTAGTGCAGAGAAGATTCATGAGAGAAATCGAGTGGAACAGGAGCAAGTGTTCCCGGAAATGTCTGGGGCTAGTAAGACTGCAACCTGGCCTCCCACATAGAGCCGGTTCAATAACCAAGGCTCACACTGAGACCCCAGAAGTTGGCTAGATTATGAATCAAAGAAAAAATACATTATGCTCAGTCTAGAATAAGATCAAGGCAAAAAAGAAGTCACAGGACTGAGTTCATGTCATGCTAAATAAACCCCATGTGTTAAAGTACTCTGAAACTATAAGGACCATCTGTAAATAGAGAGAAACATTTATGCATTCTGCTAAACTCAGTCCTGGCCACTATTTATTATAAAAATTATAAGCATAGAGTAAAACAATAAGAGTTATAGCAGTTAGAACTGATGAGGGGAAAAAACATAGACATGTCTGTTTCTTAACAACATTAGTTATTAATGGGTTTTATTATACTTTAAAATGAATTTTTTTAACATTAAGAAGTCAAGAGTCAGGCATGGTGGCACAAGCTGAGAGGGGTAATATATGCATCTAATTCCAGCACTCAAGAGGCAGAGGGTGAAGGACCAACCAATTGCCACAAGTTTGGGGCCAGCCTGGTCTATATAGCAAGTTCCAGGGCTGCACACAGGGAGACTGCCTCAAAAACCAAATCAACACAAAACATGTCAGTGTTTTTCCTAAGATTCACTTTGTTGCTTCTTATGCATCTTTAAAAAAAGTCCAAAGAGTCCCTTCAACTAAAAACTTACCTTTCTAAGCATTTCATTATCTTGAACGTTATTGAGTTCATGGGAGCTAATCTCTCCTTTCAGCGTATACTCATAAAATTTTCCACTAACGTTTACCAACAAGGTAGTTGGACTTGACTGCACTTCACAACTCAGTGTCACATTATTCACATCGCTTGGAACATGGATGCCATACCGAAGCACAAGGCCCACCAAAAGACCTGGAAGGAAAAGAACACCAGCTCTTGCAAACAGAAACTGCTTATTTGTACTCACACATACCTTCAGATTAAGAACAGACAATCTCTGATGAGAGTCCCCTGTGATTCAGAACCAATTTTCAAACCAAATGAGTTACAGTTTAAAGTATTACTAAATTCACACATCCACTAGCCGAGTCTTCATGAAATCCAGTGGGACAGGAGAGAAAAATATTCCCTAGTGGAACAGCACATATCATCATATTTCTAAGTCATCACATAAATAAAGTAATGAGGAAAGTAATGAAATGAGAAAATACCTTCAAATCATCTATACACAGACTATGCTCTAAGGTGTGCCAACCAACCTGACAATGTGTTCATATTGGAATGTGTTTTTTAAAGCCTGGCATACCTATAGTCTAGCACTCAGGGGGATGAGGCAAGACTGTGGGTTCAAGACCAGCCTGGGGTACACAATGAGTCCCTAGACAACCCGAGCTACATCATGGGACCCTGTCTCAATTTTTTTAAAAGAAGGAGAAAAAAAGCCATGTGTTTCTTTAGGGTTGGAGATGGAGTCTGATGGGAGATTGCTTGTGTAGTATATGCTATTCCCTGGGTTTGAGCACCAGACCAGAAAAAAAAATTTTTTTTAGACTTCCATCCACCAATTAACAAGACTTAAAGCCACACATGCTCCAAATTTATTCCCAAAGCACATAGGTACAAAGGTAACCAAATAATACACATTTAAGCCAGACGTGGTAGTGCACGCATTTAATCTCTGCACTTGAGAGGCAGAGGCAGGTGGATCTCTGTGAGTTCCAGGCCAGCTGGGGCTACAGGGAGACCCTGTCTCAAAAAGACTTACAATAATAATAATAATAATAATAATAATAATAAATAAATTGCAAAGCAAATATACTATTTGTAGACTGAATTCTCCTATTACTAAAAGGTCAGATTTAAAATTTCAAATAATCTGCTTCAAAATCAATATTTGAAACAAAAGTCCTGATTCTAGTCCTATGAAATCGATACAGGTTGCTAGGTTTTACTCAGATTAGCCAATCGATATTCAAATATGCAAAATTCTCTAGATTCTATAAAACTATACTGACCAACTGGAGTACTTAATGACAGCTTTATTTAAATGGAATTCAAATGCTACAATGTTTATCCTTTTGAATTACACAATCTAGTTGTCATCCGTATATTCACAAATTGCATATTCAAAAAGTATAAATCAACCACCAATAATTACAGAGCATTTTATTGCCCTAAAAATATTAGAATTCTCCCTACCACCCTATCGCCAAACTCCAGCTTTTTGCTCTTTTCAGTTAAAAAAAATTGTATATGTTCACATGTGTATACATGTGCGCACATATGTAGAAGTCAGAAGTCAACACTGTGTCTTCTTTAATCACTCTCCACTTTAGTTTTTGAGACAAGGTCTTTCACTGAACCTGGAGCTCACTGATTTTGGCTAGAATGGATGGCCAGCAAGCTCCAGGAACTAGCCTATCTCTGCTCTCCATTCCCCTAGACAGACACACGCCACCATGCCAGTTTTTATGTGGGTGCTGGGGATCCAAACATAAGTTCTCACGGCTGTGCAGTACGTACTTTACTGACTATGCTATCTCCCTAGTTCCCTAAGCCCCAGCTTTTGACAACCAATAATCTACTTTCCTATCTCTCTATAGATTTTCCTATACTGGACATTTCATATAAATGTATGGCTTCTTTCCCTTAATATTTTAACATTTTATCTATGTTGTAGCAAGTCTTAAAACTTCATTCTTATGGCCAAATAATATTCCATACATGAACATACCTCAACCACACACTGAACCCATTCTTCTGAACTTTCCTTAAGGCCAACATTCACAGTACAAGTACATTTTACCTTCCTGTAGTTTTCTGTTCTGACTTGCTACCCATTCATTTAAGATGCAAAGTACAAACTACGCCAGTTACACCTCTAGGGTTCACAGATGCAAAGTCCACTTCAAAGATCTCTCAGTCAAGTTAGCAAAAATAAATCAGCAATCTCAATTCAATACATACATGTATACAAGATGTCATAAAAACAGAAAACAGTTACCTAACCGAGCCTAACAGAACAGGACATTAGGGAAGTCTTTCTAAAGGTGCCACCTGAGTAACAAGATACTACTCCCAGGTAGGGGGATAGAGATATAAATCTCCAGTCAAGGAAGAACAGAACATAGCTGATATGGGGAATTACAAGTTGTTCAATAAGGATGCATTATAAGCTGACATAAGAGATGACGTTTGAAAGGTCTGCAGGAACTGAATCATAAAAGACTGAGTATGTTCAGGAAGGGAGTTTGGACTTCATTGTCTCAAAGAAAAAAAGGTGACAGAAGAGTTCTAAGAATGAGCCTGACATTAGATTTCTATTTTAAGATTGGTCCAGACTTGAGAGGGTCAAAATGACCATTTAGGTGAACACTGCAATCACACAGGCAATAAGAGCTTTGAACCTAATCAAGAGAGTAATGGCAGAAAGATAGGGGGAGTTTTAGAGGACATTATGTTTTAGAAAGCTTTGGCAACTAAGTAGAATAGGCTGGGGAAAATGAGACAAAAGACTGAGGAGCCTTAATGGACTTGTCAAACAGGTGGATAAGTTGTTCTGAGCATATAGTTGGAAAACAGAGTTATTCAATGAAGTGGGAACACAGGGAGAATGTATTTACAGATGAAAAGGCCAAGTTCAGTTGTTTTAAGATTTTAAAATATTTTTATTTATGTTTGTGTGTATGTATGTGTGTATCTCTATTGCATATGTGCACGTGTCCTCAGAGGTCAGAAGAGAGCACAGGATCCCCTGAAGCTTGAGTTACAAATGGTTGTGAGCCACCATGTAGGTGCTAGGAACTGAACTCAGGTCCTCTAGAAGAGCAGCAAGAACTCGTGAGGAGTCTCAACTGCAGGTATACATGTGGCAACCATAAGTTAGTAGAAGTTAGGTGCTATATGTGATGATCATGTAGGAACAAAAAAGATGGGAAGAAGACCATAAATACAGGCCCTGCATTTGATCCATTAAGAGCCAACATTGAAGGGTTGATGAGGATGTGCTGGCTGGTTTTCCTCAACTTGCCACAAACTATAAACACCTGGGAAGAAGGAACCACAGCTGGGAAAAAGGAACGGCCTGTGGGCATGTCTGTGAGGCATTTCCTTGATTGCTAATTGATGTAGGAGGACCCAGCCCACTGGATGTGTGCCATCCCCTGGGAAGGTGGGCCTGGGATATATAAGAAAGGCATCTGCGTAAGTCCAGGAAGCAAGTCAGCAAGCAGCATTCCTCCATGGGCTCTGCTTCAGTTCCTGCCCTGAGTTCTCTGATAAGTTGTGAGCTGGGAATTTTAAGATGAAATAAACTCCCTCCTCCCCAAGTTGGTTTGGTCAGTGTTTTATCACAGCAACAGAAAGCAAACTAGAACAGAGGATAAGAAACTGATAATGCGTTTAAAGAGGAAAAGCCATAGGGTAAGAATTCACGAAGAAAAGGAAAATTTCACTTTTGAAGAAAAGGAAATGGTGAAAACTATAAATGCTGCAACAAAGTCAAGTTAGGAAAGAGTGAGAAGTATCCTCTGGGTTAGCCAACAAGGAGGGCATGAGTTGCCTTGTAAGGGCAGTTCCAGTGGAGTAGTGGGTGAAGAAGTGAGACCCAAGTGGGAAGGAATGAAGTGGAAACAGTGTCATGTAAAAGCAGTAGCTGGAAGGGGCAGAGGGGGAAGAAATGATGAAAGATCCTTATGTTAACTTAGAGTCACGTGTGGTTTTTGAAGTAGGAGCGATAAGGAACTGAAGAGCAAAATGTCAATTGGAAAAATATTTTAATCAATATTCAGATGTCAAATGAAGATTCACTTTGAAATATTGCACCTCCTGGATCAACAGGATGTATCTCAGTGGTGGAGCACTAGCAAGTGCAAGGCCCTGGGTTTGAACACCAGCACCACCAAAAAAAATCTTTAAAAAAAAAAAGAACTGAGTGTGGTGGAACACACCTGTAATCTTAGCACTAGCATCTAGGTAGGAGGATCTTGAATTCCAAGCCAGTGTGGGCGATACAGTGAGTTCCAGATCAGCCTGGGCTACATAGTAATAAGAAAAAAGAAAGCAGGGAGAGGGTAGAGGGAAAAATGATGAAGGGGAGGAAGAGGGAGAAAGAGAGGGGGAAGGAAGAGATTTAGAGAAAGAGAGGGGGAAGAAAGAGATCTGGAGGAAAGAAGGAAACTCAGGGCTGGGTATCAGTTATCCTTGATAGAAATAATTTGGGGAAAAAAGGCTATAATCCATATAGTCTCCCCACATAGGTGATACAGATACTGCTCTTTACCCTCCTATCCCACAAGACTTCCTAATTGAGAGGCTTGTAAAAGTTATTCCTTAATCTCGGTATGCAAAAATCACAGATTAGCTACTACAAATAGTAGTAACAGCAGCAAAACATTTTTTTTTCCACATCCCTAAACCCACAAGGAACAGTATCCACTGGCTCCTCCCCATGGAGGAGCTACACTGGAATCTACACTGAGCATCAGGTGCCCTGATAAGGACAGACTTGAAACACACACCTTGGCAAATAAAACAGTAGGAGAACAATCACTTATGGTGGATACAGTCCAGATCATTTTGTTATGGCATCTGAAAAACTGGAATTTCTTTGGAAAAAGTTGACAGATCAACTAAATAATGGGTTCTGTAAAAGGTCAAATCCTAACCATGGAATTAAAACAATTCTCAGTAAAGAGGAAGGTCATTGTGCTTTGTCAGGGGGATAAAGCAGAAACTTCTAGCGTCCTACATACAGATTGGTAGTATGAAATTTAAAATTATTATTAATAGACACAAGAAATATGACCACGAAGAAATATCTTACATAAAACAGAACTCTACTCCTTCCACATGTTCATGCCCTACTTGTGCTGAATACGTGCCCAGTGATAAGGAACTTAGCATCACACTAGGATCTACTATTGTCTGATTCTCTGTTAATGGAACATGACTTTCTCATGGTAGTCAGCCCAGTCTTCCAGCCAAAAGCACCTGAAAACTCTGATGGCCAAAAATATGGGAGTAACACCACCACCAGCATTAAGTGTAGCCAAAACTGATAAAAAATTTCTATACATTAAGAAGTGTTAAGGGCCAGCAAGATGGCCCAGAGGGTAAAAGCACTTGCCACACAAGACCTGAGTTTGATCACTGGAACCCATGTAAAAGTGGAAGGAGAAAACGGACTCCATGAAGTTGTCCTCTAAATTGTACATGCACACCGTGGCACATGAACACCCGAATTTACACACATATAATGCACTCATACATATGCACACATAATGATAAAGTCCAATAATATTAGTGTTTTTCTTGTAATCCCAACACTCAAGAGACGGGCAGAGTTACAGCAAGTTTAAGGCCAGCCTGACCTACAAATCAATCGAGTTCCAAGACAGCCAGGGAGGGCTATTCAGAGACCTACCTCAAAATGAAAACTATAAAGAGGATTATGCAGATATAACTCAGTGGTAGGTTGCTTACCTAGGATGAATTAAGGTCCTCAGTTCAATGGTCAGTGACCCCCGCAAAACTATATGTGCATACATAAAAACATGTTACTTGTTTGAAAACTGTAGTTATAGATTCTGTGGCATTTTTCAATTGTTATGAGGTTTAAACGAAATGCTACTTATACAGTGACTAATGCAATGTCTAATATTGCAATACTCAATAAACATTATCTACTAAGTCACTAAAGTATAAGTGCTTTGAGGGCAGGGAATACGGCTCATATCTGTATTTCCCATCATATCACACATCACAGACATTTAATAAATAACTAACCAAGATTCCCTGGGCTTAAATATTTCCTGTCATTTGCTTTTTATACTATACTATACTATACTACACTATACTACACTACACTACACTACACTAATTACTATACTATACTATACTATACTATACTATACTATACTATTACTATACTATACTAATTTGTAAGCACACTGCAGTGAGTGATCACTTTCCAGACTTAACTATGTCTACAACTTTTAATAAAAGTGACTCACTTTTAAGCTTCTTAAGCTAGCCCAATGAACAAAACACATGGATGCCTTGACATGGTGTTTGTAGAGGTTAGAGGGATGGATCAGTTGGTAACCTGCTTCTCATGCAAGCTTAAGGATCTGAGTTTGGATTCCCAGGAACCATGTAAAGAAAGGGGGGTTTCAGCAGCATGCACCTATAATCCCAGAGCTTGGGAGGTGGACACAGGAATGGCCCTGGGGCTTGTTGGCCCACCAATCTAGCCAAACTAGTAAACTCCAAGTTCAGTGAGAGATCCTGTCTCAAAAACTAAGGTGGAGAACAACTGGGGAAGCCACCCAACATTGGCCTCTGGTCTCCATGTGCACCCTTCAACACACACACACACACACATCAGAGTTTGTGTTTGTAAATAGATTGCTTAGTCTATATTACAATCTAGAAACTGACCACATTGCTGACTTAAGTTTGCTTTTTATTTGTTTGACATGGTATCACTATGTAGCCACCTGGCTTGGAACTCAACTACACAGCCCAGGCTGGCCTTCAACCTTTGATACTCTTGCCTCAGTTTCCCAAATTTAGTGATCACAGGTATGTAGCACTACACCTAGCTGTGATTTAAGCTTTTAACCCTTACTTTTAACAAAGGTAAAGGAGCTGGATGTGGTGGTGTAGGCCTGTCATCCTGGCACTTGGGAGGCAGAAGCAGGAGGCTCGCCCAGAGTTTGAGGCCAGCCTGGGCTACATAGCAAGCACTAGGCCATCTAAGGCTACCTAGTAAGGCCCTTTTTCTGTAAATACATAAAAACAATTTTAAATAGCATTTTTTAAAGCTAAACCAACATCACAATTAGATCACCAATAACTGAATCTTAGATGCACAGAGATTCTTTTCACCAGAAGTGAAACTGAAAAACAAACGTCTTAAAATAATACCGTAACGCTATAGCTATGATGGCACAAGAGTCATAAGAAAAGGGGAATAGCAGGAACTAGGACTAGGAGGCTTCAGTTTGCATAATATTGAAAATACTTTATCCCAATCCCATTTAGTCTGGAACCCGACTTGGGAGTTAAGAGGCTATTTAGTAATCCACAGCCCCCATTGCCCATGAGAAAATGGGACAGGCTAAGGAATTCCAAGTCAACCCCAGATTTGACTCCCAGATTAGCACTCTTGTACTTTGTATTTTGCAAGAGATATGCTTGTTCCTTCACAGAATGTTACCACTGGGCTCCTCTATTCCTTTTTCTATGGAAACTTTAGGAAATGCCATCAACAACCCTACTTTTTTACTTCAGGCCATGAGTTAAAGGAAGTTAATGGCATCAGCTAGCAAAGGACAGATGTTTTCAGGTAATTCAAAGTCCCTGTTTGATTTTTTAATACCATGTTTGTACCACAGAAGACTAAGCAAATGAAAAGAGCCTTTCTGAGCCTAAGAGAATGCAGTTGCAATAGCAATAGCAATAATAATAATAATAGCACAGTTATCCTTTATTGACCATTTACTTGCAGTCAACAATCTTTACTATCTGGTCTTTTAAAGGAAAATAACCAACCTCTGGTCTAAAGCCTTGTAACTTCAACTATCACATCAGACCATCTCTCTCAATAGGAAAGAGTTTATCTTTGACCAGTTCCTTATTTTAATAATGTAACACTCATTTTACATTTAAACAAAGTCAAGATGCCAGCAGTTTCTTTTAATGATTTGTTTTACTTTTTTTTCTGTCTTTTTGAGATAGGGTCTCCCAGTAGCCCTAGCTGGCCTGGAACTCACTATGTAGACCAAGCTGGCCTTGAACTCACAGAAATCTGCCTGCCTCTGCCTCCCAGTGCTGGGAATAAAGGCATGCATCACAATGCCTGGCTTTTAATGATTTGTTCTATATGTTCCTTAAGTTAAAGGTCCTATATGTCAGGTTGGAGAAATGGCTCACTGGTTAAGAGCACTAACTGCTCTTGCAGAGGACCCGGGTTCAATTTCCAGCACCCACATGGTAGTTAACAACCATCCGTAACTCCAGTTCCAGGGATCCTACACCCTCTTCTGACCTCCTGGGCATTGCATGGCACTACTGAACTTAACACACATGCAGGCAATACATTCATACACATAAAATTAAAAAAAAATAACAAAATATAAAAAGACCTATATGTCTTCATAGTCTGTGTGTAAGTTATGATAAACTAATCAATAAATGTGAGGATAGAAAACAAGTCACACACTGTCACACAGAGCAACTGTAGAAAAATGTATAGCTTGTCTGACTAATTTGTTTTAAGGGGCACTACAAATGAAATATAAAAAAGAAAAGAAATGCAATACCTAATATGTCCCCAAACTAGGCATCCTGATGAACAGGGATATTTCACTTGCTTAGAATGTATTAGCTTACAAATGAAAAACAAGCCTGAGTCCGTACATTTTCCTAAGGCACACAACTACATTTCATTGCTCCCCTTGAAATGCATGCACATTCTAGAAGTCTGAATTTACTGGAAAGGGGTGGGGGTGGGGGACTGCATGGAAAAACACCTTTTTGTGCCAAACCTTCCTCTACCCATCAGCAAGTCTCAGACACAAACCTCAACAAGCTCAACAGTTTAAGACTGTTCCAAATGGAGATAATCTTCACACACAGATAGGATTGTTTGTTCACCCTCATCTCTTCAGCCATACCTTCCTAGGCAGATATGAGACAGCCAGCGATATCTTCTTTTCACCTCACAAGGCTAGAACATGGTTCAAAACGTTTCTAAGCCCATGGTTTGATTTACCTTTCCCACCTCATCTCACACACGCAAACACACAAAATTCCCCCAAATAACCTCAAAAAGAAAGCACTCAGAGACACAAGAACCAAACCCATTTACTCAACAGTTAATAACCTCATACCAACAGCAAGTCACCCATACTGCTTATCCGTGAGGGCTCTTAATTACCACCTGGCTGAACTGCTCCCATCATACGGTACACAGCACGCTGCTGGAAGAACCATAACTCTTATGGGTCCTCACTTCCACAAGCCTGAATCAGAAGGGTCAATCCCACGCATCCATATCAGGTATTACAGGTATAGTACCATAAACAAGGACGTCATTTAAAATGCCCTAAGCCTTCTTTAGCCCATTTCACGTTCAGGTTTCTATTTTGCTCGGGTTCCACAGGAGTAAGGTTATCATTTGTAACCTGGGACTAGGAGCATAGCAAGAGCCAAGCCGAGTAATGAGTAAAGGTCGGCTCTGGATCCAAAAGAATGCCAGATGCTGGGCAGTGGAGCTACTACTGCGGCTCCAATGAACCTTAAAGCAACTGACACCCCAGAGAAATAGATCGCAACCATGTCTTCCCCTCCCCCAGCCCCCAGCCCCATCCCAGACACCGCACCCGACTCCCGATTTCCCATCCTCAACACCCACCGGTCCTGGTCCCCAGTGCTAGGCAGAGAAGGGGCAGCAGGATGCAGAGGAAAAAGGGGGTGGGGTCAGAGGCGAAAACGGTGAGAAAAGATGGAGAAAATGGGGAGGCGAGGCCGAGAAAGAGGGAGAAAAATGGGGGGCGTAGCAGAAATAAAAAGGGGCGAGGCAGAAAAACTGGGGTACAGCTTAAGGCGAGGCGGAAAATGGAAGGAAGGAGATCAGGAGCAGAATGTAGGCCGGGTAGGACCAGAAGGGAAGGCGAGGCAGCCGGCGGGCAGAGAAAGGGGCAGGACCAGGGGGCGGACAGGGGTCCGAGACACTTGCCATAAATCATAGCCAGGCCGGTTTCGTGCAGGAAGCGGGCCCGGCGGTGCTTGAAGAGCCAGATCGTCAGAATGGTGAGGGTGAGCAGCAGGATGAAGATGAGCAGGTTAGCGCTGTCCTGCCGGTGGCTCTCTTCAGCCTGCTTTTCAGACACGATCTCTTCATCCATGGCTCTCATCGCTGCCCCGGCACCTTCCGAAGCCCCGGCCCAGCCAAAGACGCCCACTGCCAAGAGCAACCAGAGGGGCCGCATGAGCCGACGCGCCCGGGGCCCGACGCCGACGCCACGGCGAACCGGCGCCTGCCGCCAGC